TGATTATCAGTGCATGAGAGAAATGATCAACTAAACGTGTGCGGAGGTCGTAACGCCACCGACCAGAGAGCTCTTATCACACCACACGGCGGGAATACCAAACCATTTTATTTCTAGAGAACGTTTCAAACACATTATGAGAGCTGACTGAAGTGCTGCACTGAGTACGGACACCAAAACCATGAAAACAAGAGGCTGCAATCCCAAAAAAACCAGTAAGCAAACACTAAAAGAGTCACTGGCCAAAAGCCAAGCCATTAGAGTACGAGATTTAAGAACAGAGAGGATTCCAGTCCGACAGGGTGCAGCACACATAAACGCTCGCTCACCCCGTGACGTATAGGGCATGCGGGAAGTGCACAGTAGCAGCTGGTCAGCAGAGCGTAACTCACGTATGGGGTCAGAAGGTCAGATAGATAAGGTGGAGCTAGATCATTCAGAGCCTCGAATACAAATGTCATTAGTTTGAACCTCACGCGGGCAGCATGGCAACCAGGAGCCAGTGGAGACTCGCCAGGACTGGAGTAATATGGCGGCGGATCTGGTTTGTCAGGAAGCTAGCAGCAGCATTCTGAACTTCCTGCAGTCGGTTTAGGCCGAGACAGAAATTCTCAAAGCTGGAGTGATCCAGACCAGGTTTTTTTTTAGTATCAACTGTTGTTGTTAGCCTCAAGGTCAACATGCCGAATATCACTTGTAACTGAACTAATTGTCATCCCTGCAAAACCATCCACACAGCACGATATCCCAATCCAAAATGACTTCCTATCTCTGGCTCCTTCAAAGGCAGTTCAAAATCTGGGTGTTGTGATTGATGAACACCTGACCTTTAAAGATCATGTCGCCTCTGTTGCTCGTTCATGCCGCTTTGCACTGTATAACATACGAAAGATCAGACCATACCTAACACAACATGCCACCCAACTCCTGGTGCAATCTACTGTCATCTCCCGCCTCGATTACTGCAATGCCCTTCTAACTGGTCTTCCAGGCTGTACTGTGAGACCTCTTCAAATGGTCCAGAATGCAGCAGCACGTCGGGTCTTCAATCAGCCAAAAAGAGCACACGTCACCCCTCTGTTCATTGAGCTCCACTGGCTACCGCTAGCAACACACATCAAATTCAAATTGCTAACACTAGCATACAAAGTCCGAGATGGTACGGCTCCCATCTGCCTGAATCCTCTTGCAACGGCTTACGTCTCGGCCCGGCTGCTCCGGTCATCACAGGATCATCGGCTAGCAGTGCCTACACCACGCTCAGAACAGTCCAGACTCTTCTCATGCATCGTTCCACAAATGTGGAATGACCTTCCAAGCACTACCAGAACAGGGGATTCCTTTTCGATTTTCATGAAACTCCTGAAGACCCTGCTCTTCAGAGAGCATCTTCTTATCTAGCACCCTCCCTGCACCCGTCCCCCCCCTCTCTGCTGCTCCTCCTTGTTCCCTCCTCTCCATGATTTATCATGCTGCCTCACTGTCACCTACGACTGACTGGAAATTGTTTGTTGTTATTGTTGTTGTTGTTAGCCTCAAGGTCAACATGCCATTTATCACTTGTAAGTCGCTTTGGACAAAAGCGTCTGCTAAATACATAAACATAAACATAAACAACCACTCTTTAAATCTGTAGGGAAGACCCCAGAGCTGAGACTGTTGTTAATGTTTGTATGGGATGGGCGATAAGATTCTCTTTAGAGCTGTTCATCAGGAAACCCTAAAACTGTTGGAAGAGGAGGATCAGTTCTAAAGTTGGGGTAATTATTTTACCTAAGGTAAGCTCTTTGGGATCTTGTGAATGGACAAAACTCCTAACTGAAGTTCTGGAGTTCTGCAGGACTGGTCTTCCTCAGCAAAGGCCATCTAGATGATGGATGACTAATCGATGATGCTATCCTGTGAGCCAGCAGAAGTCTACAGACAACAATGGGGACATTACAATATATTGTAGAATGTCCTGAAGTCCAGTCTCAAGAACTGTGGGATCCCAACAGAGGTCTAGGAGAACAGTGCACTCAGTCACCTTTAGAAGTGCTTTATGTGCTGCAAGAGACTTGGAATGCCAGTGGATAGCTCCCAACACCAAGCATCACGCCACACCGCTCTGCCAAGCCTAACACCTGGAGTGCCCTTGCATGTCCATAACCGTCGTATAGTTTCTGCTTTAGCCAATGGCCAGACACGAGTCCGCTCTTGTGGCAGGTTTACTACACGGGCCACTAGGTTGGGCCCATCAAGAGTTTCGAACATTTGCTCAAAAGATGAAAGTCAGAATGAGTGACTTGGTTTAGGTGATTAAAGTTAATTACCAAGTCAAAGTTTTATATTCTTGTCGCATTTTAACGTTTTAGGTAGATTTTATGAGAAGTATGAATGTCGGAAAGTTCTACTTAAACAGCGGTGTTCATACTTTCTATGGAGGTTAATGTAAAACAATCCCATCCTGTACATGTGGTCTGAATTGATGATATTTTAGCTCACCTGCAACTGAAACAAACTGTTGAGCTGCTGTTTCCGATAGCAGCAGTTCTGTAATTCAGTTGACCGTGACCGAACATTCGCTGCCCCCCAGGATCTTCAATTTGCTGGAGCTTAAGCTTTTTAAAGCTCCTGCATATCATTTACCTCCAGCACTCATAAAAGCTGCTCATATTCCTGGGAGGCAGCGCGAGCATGACTGACAAGAAGTTATTCACTTAGGCTGGTGTGTGGTGGAGGCTGCAGCAGCGAGGAGAGGGATGTCCTATGCCCATACATCAGGTTAGAGAGGGATAGAAAAAAACATAATGAAAAATGTCCTCGCTGCTGAGCTCTTTCAGGTTTATTAGCTCTTCTTGCTCTGGGGATGAAACCAGTATGGTTGCTTACTGGCTCGTTGTCAGACTTGCTTTGCTGAAATGATCAGAGTTTATAAATGTTAGTATTTGTAATAAAACTGCTAAAATGAATAAATTCATGCCCATGCTTCATCATCATCTTCATCAGTAAGGCTTGGTTCACACAGCAGGATTCTTAAGACTATTTTCAAAACATGAGAGGCAACACTAAGGCTGGACGCCCTGACCCTAACCACAGGTGATAGACCAAGCCCTTCACCGATCTTTAATTCCTATGAATTAATCTCGCAGATGGGTGATTGCAAACTTAAATGTCAAGTCAGTTGTTTTATGCACATATCACAGAGCTAGGATTCCTATGATGACACATAGCAATCCAGGATTCAATCATAACACTTTTGTTAAACCACTCGGAAATTCAACACAGCATCTAACCTTCAAAGCCTCTTTCATTGACAGAATAGTGGCATCTCCAACAGGAACGGTCTTTTTACATCCAGAAGTCTGAGAAAAGTTCTCCAGTAAAATAGTTGGTCTACAAAGTGTCTTTCATTCACAATCAAAAGTGATTTACTGCAGAAAACATGAAAAATTTCCCTCAGATGTGTCTTTATAACCTCTGTGTAGGGCAGAATGATTCTGGAAAATAATCCTAACTGCGTTTTTTTTCTTCAATGTTGCAATTTAAGTCACGATTATTTTCTCTAGGGGCTTTTCTCATATTTTTCAACTAACAGAAGCAAAAAAAAAATCTATGTAACTTGCACTGAATATAAACAAGTTTATGTATCTACATATTTATCTACATATCATATCTACAAGTTTGTTTGTCTACATAAACACTCACAAGTAAAGACAGAATGTTGTATTTGAAGGTGCGATGATTTGCAGCCAGGAGCACATCTTTGAAGGAACATAGGTATTAGCATCAACTGTGAACATTTATTAGCAGGAAAGAAGCGTGTCCTGTTTATTGAGGTCTTTTGTGTTTAGAGTTTTAGACGTCTTGTCCATGCAGAGCTTCCGTAGTTCAGCTACATCCATAGCTGCTAGCCAACACTCTGTGGAGTTAAAGTCTCTTACAGTTTTCTAGCTTTACTAAAATATCCGTCTGTACTTATTTGATTGATGGCAGGTTTTACTTTTTATTAGACTCCAAATGTAATCATTTGGCACGTTTCTAATTCATAATTTGCAAGAATGTAATCGATATTAGCATTAGCATCCCTATGGGTTTTTCCATGTATATTAGCATTGTGCAAACCACTCACTGCCAGTCAAATCGCATCCTTTACGATTAGAAAATCTCCTTTTGTCACATTGCAATTTAATTGCATATGCAGCCCTAGCTCTGTAAACATCCTCATGTTAGCCTCAAACTTTTGAGTGACGTCTTCCTAAACCAGTAAGGCGAAATCTTCAGTCAGATGTACCGCCCTCTATAATCACGTGTGTAGCGTAAACCAAGTACATCGCAGTTTATAACTGATTAACACATTAAATGAAAATAAACAATGAAATGTTACATAGAGCCTTAGACCTCACATGTGAAGATAAAATATCACGGACAGACCAGAGTGGGCTCTACAGTATGTGGTGTTCATCAACAAGGAATGGTTTCACACATGAACGTTCCTCGTCAGACTGGAAATCTGGCAACACGTCTCAAGATCAAGCCGTACCTTAGAGTAAACAGACATGGTGGAGGAGGAGCGTGCAGACTATAATCAGTCCATTGCATAAACGTTTACTATTATACAGCTGGTGAGGTGCCTTAAATGATTAAATAACCAATAAATAACATTTGGGACTTGGAAATGCTCTTCTAATACTCCTGGTTAGACTCTACCACATTTTAAAATGCAGCGATAATATCTGGTTAGGGTTAGTTTCTTATTCTTGTACCGTGATCTCTGCAACACTTACTCAGATAGACACAAAAATAAAGTTTCACATTGTTTGCTGTGAATGTGAAGCTTTTTGTGTCTTTAATCACAGCTTGGAACGTTTTCCTCTCCTGGTGTGATTGGCATTGATTTTCGTAGTGCCTGAATTCTGTTGCAGCGTTTTCATCCCCGCTGTGGAAACATTGATTTTATATTGAAACAGTTAATAAGGGTTTTCTTTCCCATCTTCATTCTGTCATCTCCCCATCTGCAGGTAATTTATGCTCTCAACACCAAGAATGATGAACACGAGGAGGAAATTGAGTCTCTGAAGGAAGCCCACGAGGATGAGGTATGACACCACCAAGCAGCAGAAGCTATGACTAGAAAAGAACAAAGCTAGAGATTGCTGTGAGGTTTCTCTCTAAGATGTTTTTGCCCTTTCAGCTAAGCAGGGTTTCCCTGACTCCTTTGCTGTTGGGGTTTGAGTTTGAATCTTTATGAGTAGGATTGATCCGATCCACATCTTCATCTGATATATTGATGATGTCACTGAAGAGTTCAAGTTCATTTTATTTCTAAAGCACATTTAATGACAAAAGCAAAGTTGACCAATTTGTTGAACAAAAGTAATAAAAACAACAACAGAAGTAGGAAAACTTGATTTGAAAAGACTAGGAGTTGGAGCTTGTCTGATGTGTAGTGGTAGACCGTTCCAAAGCTTTGTGGCCTGACACCTGATCGCCTCAGTGGACCAGCCTAGACCTTGGTGCAGCTACAACCTAAAGATCTAAGAGATGTAGGAGGCAAACACCCAGAAGTCTTCTTTCTCAGGGCTTTATTGGTCAACAATACAATTTTACTATCAATTCTGAATCAAACAGGAAATCAGTGAAAAGAGGCTAGCACTAGCAAAACATTTTTGTGTCGTTTCATTTGTGTCAGAAGATGAGCAACTGCAAACTTGCAAGGTAGGGCCGAATAACTCCCAACATATCGGGCATCACAAAAGTCCGGCTGGGACGTGACCATGGATCATCGATTTTTAGAAGATGAAAGCTTTAAACTGAAGAAGGACCACTGTACAACTGAGCTAATCTGTTCTTCAAAGGTGAAATTATTGTCAAACAAGTTTCTGAGGCTCAATTTAACAAAAGGCCCTTGACTGGAAGTGCCAGGATTACCACTCAGCCTGAGTCGAGACACTGAAGTAATGGTTCTAGTGGAGCAGAACAGCTACCCATTGGCTGAAGGTAGATCTGAGTGTCATTGGCATAGCAGTGGAATTAAATTGTTATAATTTATGAAAATTAGACCTAAAGGCAGGAGAAATAGAGAATCAGACCGGCCCCATAAGAGATCCCTGAGGTACTCCACGAGTACAGGGCGCTTAGGAAGACAGAATCTCCAAAGCTCAAGGAGAACTTCATGTTAGATAAGTAACACCTGCTGCAAAGTCTCCAACAAACCAAACTAACTAAAAAATAACTTTTTTGTATCTGCAGGTCTTTGCATGCTCAGTCTGATGCCTGTTATTGGTGTAGAAACATTGACAGAATATGATTAATCAGTTACCACAAAATCATCTTGTCCAAACATCATGAGAATAAAACAGAAAGGATTCCTCAGCAACTGAAGAACGCCTTCAAGATAGCTTCACTGTGACAAGTTTCCAAGAGCAGCTTTTACAATAACATGGAGTGTGCGCTAGCTCTTTGTCTAATTTTGTTGTGCTAGCTCTTTGTCTACGTTGTTGTGCTAGCTGATTGTCTAAATTGTTGTGCTATCTCTTTGTCTACATTGTTGTGCTAGCTCTTTGTCTAAATTGTTGTGCTATCTCTTTGTCTACATTGTTGTGCTAGCTCTTTGTCTATGTTGTTCTGCTAGCTCATTGTCTACATTGTGCTATCTCTTTTCTACATTGTTGTGCTAGCTCTTTGTCTACGTTGTTGTGGTAGCTATTTTCTTCATTGTTGTGCTAGCTCTTTGTCTATGTTGTTGTGCTAGCTCTTTGTCTACATTGTTGTGCTAGCTCTTTGTCTACGTTGTTGTGCTAGCTCTTTGTCTACGTTGTTGTGCTAGCGCTTTGTCTACGTTGTTGTGTTTGCTCTTTGTCTACATTTTTGTGCTAGTTTTTTGTCTGCATTGTTGTGCTAGCTCTTTTTCTACTTTGTTGTGCTAGCTCATTGTCTAAATTGTTGTGAGAATTTGTATTCCAAATCTCGTCAATCCTGTTGGTTTTTCCTCTCGCTCAGGTCCAGCACATAGTGACAGAAACCAGAGACAAGATTATGCAGTACAGGAGCAAAATGGCGGACGAGGCAGACCTGAGGCGGCGGTTGGCCAGTCTTGAGGAATCTGTGGAACTGCACGAACACATGAAGAGACAGGTCATTCATTGCTGCCGGGCTGCATGGCGACTTTGTGTGTCTGCAGGTTGGGTTCACCGTGGCTTTGCCTCCATTAAACTCAACATCAGTCACATGGACGTAGAGCTTTTGCGTCTCTAAGACTTTATGATTATGAAAGTGCCACCTTTAATGAAGCTGGTGTTTTGTTTCTGTCAGGCTCTAGCCGAGTTTGAGATGTACAGACAGAGAATGGAAGACTCGCAGCTCTGCACCGAGGCCCAGCACACACAAAGAGTGGTGTCCATGAGCAGAGAGGTGAGGCTTTGCATGTCCAACTGGGCCTACTGGTAAAACGCATGCTTGAAAATACTGTTCATGCAAAACCTTACATGTTATAGTCATTCATGTTTGATGCGTGTTCTCATTATGATCTGAGATTCAGTTCTTGTAGTGAGCTTGTTAAAATCATCCCCTCATGTAAATCCAAACACTGCTGTTGTTTTAGTAGAAGAAGAATGAGTTAAAGTCAAAGGTTACCAACCCTAGACCCCTTCATGGTGTGGACGAAAACCTGTTTAAAGCCCAAATGAACCTTTAATTGTTTTTTTCCTTTGACTTTGTAATGCATCCATGTATTTTAGCTGAATGCAGGTAAACAGGTTTGTTTAAAAGGCCAGAGTGACCCTTAAACGCCTCAAATTCTGTTTTTTATGACTAACTTAACTTTCTTTTAATATTTAAACATCACTGTATCTGTATCATTCAAGCTAATAAGTGTAGTTAGTGAGGGACCCTTAAACAGCAAATAAGTTCCTCCCTCCTACTGGGTGGAAGCAGAATTACACCTGTTGTAAACAACCCTGCCACGGCTGGTTAGAGCTAACAATGAGCTTACGCCAATGGAGTCCACCTGATACTAAAAATTACACAAAGCTTCACACTGTTGGACAATAAATATCATTACTTACAAGTCCAGTACCAACAAAGCCAGGTCACCATCAGTCCGTGATTTTTGTAGCCTCCTTTAGCTCCCTCAAACTAGCATAGGCCGTACCGATGTTTTAGCTCTTTGTTTCACCTCCAAAGACATTAACTTCCAGGCTCCGCCATGATGGCAATAGAATGTATTTTTATTGACGGCTGGCGGACAGGAAAACAGGCTAACTCTTATCCTTTCTGTTAGCTTTTGGCTCAGTAATCAGCTATTGTCATAAAGCAGAGACTTCCAACTAGTGTTCCTAGCCCTAGTGTTTTTCCAAAGGGATACTTTGGTCATTTTTAAGTATTTCTATGTGAAAGGTATAAATTATTACCATATTATCTGTTGTAGATGGTTTCTGATTAGAGTTTATGTCTTTTGAGCTAAAGGCTCATCTGAACGCAGCCAAGACAACATTATATAACATCTATTTCTGTCTACAACCCATAAGATGGTAATTCTTTTTGAGTTCATTTGCAAAAACAGATAAACAACATTTTTGATCAAAATCACCAAATGTTATTTAGACTGAAATCAACCAAAATCAATAATAAAAAGCTGCATTATTTTTGAAAATGTATAAAAACTGAGATATGTTCTTGCAAATGAACTCTTTATTTATATCTTTCACACAGAAACACACTTCAAAATGCCCCTTTAAGGCGAGGCAGCATCAGCAGGTAAGTGGTAAATGTTACCATTGATCAGGCAGTATTTTAGCTTTCCTAACAGATTTATTTCAGATGTAAACATCCAGGTGAGTAAAGTCGTGAGTGAGACAGATCTTCACTTCACGTGGAACAAAGTGTTGGCCTGCACAGAACCACGTAGGTGTGGTAGAGATTAATGAGTGGACCAAGCTGTTAAAGGTAATGTCCCAGAGGTGAGTTTAATCAGCAGTCGGCGTCGCCCCAGATCGATCAGCGGAGAGAAGAACCATCAGGACCAGAACAGACCGGAAGATACCGAACTCAGTCAACATTTCAGTATTTAGATATGAAAACCTTAAATACTAGCTTGTCTTCCAAGTGAAAAAACGCATGGTTTCCATTTTATCCACAAAAACATATTAGAGTACATTTCAAACTAGAATATCTGCAGCAGATATTCTGAACCGGTTGTTCACAACTCATTCATCAGGTGACGTAAAAGTCCTGCCTTTGAAGAACCATAAAACAGATCAAGCCAAGGAGCTCCAAATGTAAAAAACTATAGAAGAAGAAGCTGTTTTATAAAGCGTCTCATGAGGCGCCTCACAAGGACGAAAAAAATAATAAGATTAATAACGTAGACAAGTGCCATCATCATTTCATGCTGTCATGAAGCACAAGCTCATGTTCTTTTGTTATGGCATCAGGAACACCTGAGGCTAAGCTAAATTAGCATCTTTCTGTTTGGATTAGCGTATGCTAACATTGCTCTCATTCACTAGACGTTTACATTTACTCCTCATGGGCACAAATATAATATTTAAATTGAGAATGTATTTATTGATTGGATTGTGTCTTTATTATTTAGTTAAACGTCCCAAAGTCACAGAAAAGGTTTCTCTTTACCTTGCTGACGGTTTCCTTTGTGGTTGCAAACTTCCTCAGAGCTGACGCTGATGGTGGCTTCACCTCCTACTCCGTTTATCCGCGGGCAGCAGAGGACATTGTTGCCCTCTGCTGCCCGCTCTCCCCTCTCCGACCATCAGCATCAGCTCTGAGGATGTTTGCAGCCACAAAGGAAACTGTCAGCAAGGTAAAGATAAATCTTTTCTGTGTTTTAAAAAAGAACCAAAAATGGAATTAGAAGTCAAACACAGCAGGAACGTACCAAAGATGATCATTGTCCTGTTGGAACACCAACGCTTCAACCAACTAGCGCAGTGGTTCCCAAACATCTCAGCTCATGACTAGCTGGTAAAAAAACATTTACTATTTTAGTGTTATTGCGTCTGTTTTTTTGTTACATCTAAGACAAAATATAAACAAATATTTTTTTAAGTTTATTTGACTGTTTTAGATCTTCTGAAGGCTTTCCACTCTGTGTCTTGACCCCATCTTTGGAAATAGTCTCAAATAAAGTCCAAGAGTTGTGAGCGATTATGATGCTACCACCACCGTGCTTTACAGCTGGTACGCTGCTCCTAGGCATGACTCCTTCCAATCTTGGTAGTTTTGCTTGTCTTGTCTAGCTTAAAGGTGTCTCTCTCGGAGCAGGAGCTTCTTGGTCCTCTCCATCCATGGTGATGTAACCCTTTCTTTGCTGGTACTTCAGCGAAGTAGTCGAGTCTTTGTGGTTCCAAGTAGTTCCTGGACATCTTAACCAATACTGTCTTTTTTCATGAGGCTGACAGCTTGGTCCATTTTCAAGACCTCAGCTGAATGACAACAGCCAGACAAGACAACAACGCTGACAAGGACAACGGACAAACAACACATTGAGACGCAGACAGGGTTTTATACACAGGGTCAGGATGATTGGGAGATTAGCTGCAGGTGCGTGGGGAGAGAGAAACCAGGGAAACCTGGTGAAATTAATTTGCTAATCAGGGAGAGAACTCTAAGCTGAGGAGGGGAAATAAAACATAACCTATGACTAATAACCAAACCTAAAGACTAGAAGAACCAGATAAATAACTAAGGATCTAAGGAGAAAGGGAGAACTAATAAACTGGTGGGGAAGGAACAAGGAAGGAACCTAAAAGAAAACCTGAACCTATGAAGACTACAGGGGAAAACTAGCTAGATAACATAAATACAAAGAGAACTCAAGAATAAGTGAACCTGGGAAACCTGGTGGGAGCTGGAGACAAGAAGGGGCACAGGAAGCTTGGGTACACGTGAGGGGGATCCTAGAGGGTCATCTGGAGGGGTTGGGGACCTGAAGTGGCACAGAAACCTAAGGGGAGAACCTGGAGTGGGCTGGGGAACACATGAGGGGGACGCAGACCATGACAGGTTTAAGTTAGAGCCCGTTTAAGTCCTTTTGACCCTTCGTAGAACAAAAATACAAAAACCCTACTGAAAGAGACACAGATGCCCGTGAGGAGTTCACATAAACATCTGACCACGGCTGAGTTCAGCTACATGAACGAATCTGTTGTCATTACAAACATCACATCACGTCATATTTTTACATGTTTTTTCAGACACTCAGGAAGCTCGCTAGCTGCTAGCAGGCCAGATGTGTAGAGGCGCTTCTGTTGGCATGTCAGAGACTTGTCGCCTTGAGAGTGCTTCTGCAACAACACTCAACGAGTCCCAAACAGCATACATGATGTTTCGTGGTTTCACTAGGTGGAAGAGATGCGTCGGGATTTTGAGGAGAAGCTGCGGTCGTTCAGCCAGGCTCAGGCCCAGTTTGAGGCAGATAAACGGCGAGCGCTGGACGAGCTGAGGGCCACCCACCGCCAGGAGGTGGAGGAGCTGCGCGACAACCAGCAGAACCACAGCGCCTCCTCCGTGGAAGACCAGGAGAAATTGGCCGAGCTCCATAGACAAGAGGTGGGCTACGAGCATGAGAAACAGGAAGTTAGATGTGCTGTTGGATCGGGTTGGCTTTTGTGGAAAGATCATATGGCAAGTCCCTCAGTTTTAATCATGTTATTGTTTGAAGACGTGCTAGAGCTCTGAACATGCATGTCATTCTCTTCTTTTATCTCCATTTTTCCTCCAACTCAGTTATTACCGGTCAGATGTTCACAAAGAGTAGCTAAAAAGTAAAATATTAATACATTATTAAAACTAATGGCAGGAACAAAGTGTGGAGATACGAGACAACGGGCAGCACAAAGACCTGCCGGTTTGTTTGTTCATGCAGGTGGAGGCTTTGATGGAGAGGGTGGAGGAGCTAACAAAGGATAAGGTCCAACTGGTGGAGGAGTACGAGGCCAAGTTGGCCAAAGCTCAAGAGTATTATGAGAGGGAGCTGGAGGCCATGAGGAGGACACACCAGCTCACCACCGAGAACCTGCTGGCCTGGAAGAGGACTGAAGTAAGACCAAGTCAGGGTGGACGGTGACCGGCTGCTTCTTCAGCCTTCTGGTGACCAGTCCTCTCCTGTTCAGGTGGAGCTCCGGAAAGAGTTCCAGGCCCAGGAAGCGGCGCTGCAGCGCTCCCTATCCAAGCTGAGGAGTGAGCTCCAGAAAGCTCAGGAGGAGGCCCGGGAGAATCGGGACAAGACCAACCGGCTGCAGACGTCGCTGGCCAACGCCGAGGGGACCATCAAGGTGTGTTGTCACGGCTGGCTGCATGTGTAAAAAAAACACACACTCCCACTGCTGCAGTTACAGTTTTTGCTAACTGTGTTAGCTCACTAGCTCTTTAAGGGGACGCCTGCTTTAGCTCACCTGGGCTAGGAAGTGGGTTCAGTTGAAAGGAAAGCAGGTGCTGAAGCAGAAAAGCAAACGCCTCGGGGGTGGAATCTGTTTTCATTCGTGTCAGAGTGGTGGGAAAGGTAATGCAGTGTGCTCCGATAGGCCTGCAGGCACATCTGTAGCCGAGATGATGTTTAACGTCAGAACGTGTGTGTGTGTGTGTGTGTGTGTGTGTGTGTGTGTGTGTGTGTGTGTGTGTGTGTGTGTGTGTGTGTGTGTGTGTGTGTGTGTGTGAGCTACAGAACCTGCACAAGCAGCTGGAAGAAGCCATCCAGGATGGAGAGATCTGGGTGATGCAGCTGAAGGACACTGAGTATGAGCTGGAGAGCAGCAGGGAACGGGTTCAGCAGCAGGCCACTGAAATCCTCCACAAAGCCAGTAAGATGTTCCCCTACGGGCAGGTTGAGTCCAAACAGCTGTGTGCTGCTGTTTTACACATCTGGAAAGTGGAAAACTCACCTTTTGGCTCTTTTAGAGCTGCCATGTTGGTCTCTACTGCCTTTAGAAACGCTCCAAACATGAATACGTTTGCTTATACAAGCAGTTTGAGTCCCTTATTGTGACTCGACAGGTTTTCTGGTCTACTCCACCGTTCCAGCCGTCTCCGGTGTAAAGATGAAAATGGTGTAAAGGGGTCCTTCTCCAGATGTTCAACATAACTTAGTTCAGGACAGCAGACCATTGTTTGCTTCTTAGCTATGTGCTTTGGGTCATGCTCCTGTTGGAGGACTGAGACCGAGCTTTCTGACACCTGGCGTTGTGAGTCTCGTGGTGGCGTTGGCAGAAGTTCTGGTTGATCATATCTTCAGTTTCAAGTTATTTTACTTTTTACAGCAGACAATTGTTATCCTTGTTATTGCTACACCTGAAGCAGCACAGGGCCTGTAGAGAAAGAAAGAAACAAGACCAAGAACCGAACCTTGAGGGACGCCTTAAAAGTTCTACACGTCTCCATCAGGGTTTAGAGTTAGTATGTGGGGAAGATTTATGGCTGACCAGGTAACTGGACTGCTTTCAGGTCAGATCGGTTCCTTGCAGGCCACCCAGATGGCTCATGAGGCAACCATCAGGAACCTGGACCAGGAGCAGAGTCGTCTCAAGGAGAAGATCGGCAGGTTGGAGGAGGAGAGGGAGGCTGTGCTCAACCAGAGCCAGGTCGCCAACGAACAGCACAAACAGCAAGTGCTCAAACTAGAGCACGTACGTAGTATCTGACCTTTTCACTCGTCCAGGTCTGAGAAGAGACAAAAAGCCGAACCTGATTGTTTCTCTGCTTCAGTCTCTACGCGAGGAGCACCAGGGCTATGAGAAGGAGCTCTCCAGGGTCAGAGCCCACTATGAGGAGGAGACACTTCGCTTTAAGGAGGCTCAGGTCAGAGCGCTGGAAGAGATGGAGCAGAAGCACCGGTCCATGAGGGAGGAGGCTCAGCAGGAGAAAGAGGAGGAGAAGAAGCTCCTCATTACAGTAAGTCCAAGTGTTTCAAAGCAGCTGAGAATCGTAGAAAAGCCTTCAAACATCCAGTTCATCACAAACGTTCTGAGGAAATGAGTAATGATCCTGTAGCTGCCAGGTCTCAAATGTGGTAGAAATGAAGTTCTAGTGTCCGGCGTTTACAGATACCTAACTGTGCCTTCAGCTTCAGACGCCAGGTCTGTGAGATGCAAATGAGTAGATTATAGATTAGGGTTCTGAAGCTTTGAGTTGAGCTTTCGGCAGCCGTCGTGTAACTAGTGCCAAGTGGGACTGTGTTTGGATGAGATGGAGAAGCAGTTAAGCGCCAGCCTCAACGCCACGCAGAGCTGAGAGCGTCTGGTGGAACAAAGATGAAGTTTCACAGTTTTACTGCTTCGTTTTTCTACTTTTTAAGATGCTAAACCGTTACTCTCTAGCAAGCTTCAGCTGGACAACGCTTCAGGAGAGAAGCAGCAGTCATAAAACCAGTCAGAACAGGTCTGTCTTTGCTCAGAGGCACGTAGGCAGTGACAAATGAAGCTCTCAGAAGTTTTGTTTCCAGACATTGTAGCTGTAAAACCATCTGAGACTGCTAGTTTAGCCTAACTGGTCCATGTTAGCAGTACCGTTCGGAGCAAAGTGCTAATTGGCTGATTTTCACCGACGTTAAATCCTGCTCCGAGCCAATCCAGTTCAGGATGCGAGCTTGTGGGCGTGTGCTTATGGATTCCCGGGAAGACAGGAATGGTGACTAGAGGGGGTGATGGTTAGAGGACTGTTATTCCAGCTGGAGCTGCGGAGGAGAAGTCAGATGAGAGCAGGAAAGCAAAGAAAACCTTTTTATCTGAGCGTCGTGTCAGTCAGGAAAACACTAACGAGTTCCTCATCCAGTGAAAAGATACGGCTGATTCAAAAAAAGACTAACCCTAACCCTAGTTACTTCACAAGTCATTAGTCTCTGTTGGTATTTTCACTTTTATTGAATGTTTGGTTTCCTAACACTGGTAAAGTCTCATATGAGTGCCTTAAAGCTGAACTATTGTTCCTATTGTGGTATTTCTACAAGAATACAAACAAAAATAAACAATACATGAACCCAGCCTGCACAGATTGAAGCCCGAAAGCTTCCCTGACCTGGTTCATGGTCAGCTCCTCTGTACATGAAAAGTACTTTGTTCTCATCTTATGAATATCACACGCTGAATCCGTGTTCGTCCACCAGCTGTTCCGGACTTCCCGTAGACAGAAGTCCTGATGAAGACGCTTGCTTCCTGTCGGCTCCATGAACCGAAAATCAAATCGAGTTCAAACGAGGATTCCAGCCTTTCCGCGCAGTCTAGCCTACCAAAAATACAAATGTTGTAAAATAATTTTAATTTTCACCATTTTGAATCAAACTTAGCTATTTACCGGTGAAAGAATCAGATTACAGAGCAGAAGCTTATTCATGTCAGTATTTTACCCTAAAATGTGAACCTAATCCATGAGACACGCTCGTTTTTTCCTGTTTCTGCCTTTATTTGTTGTAATTGTGGACTCAGTTGTAAAATGTACCTTTGTAGGAGGAGTCAGTGAGGTCACATGATCACGTTTATTTAGAGCTGGAATCAGAAACATTAATTTACCTTTGAGACCAGTTTTCACTGAGGAATGGCGGCGTTATAGCATCCTTTTAGAAAATAATGGTAAATAAAATGTGTTGCACACTTGCAGGATCTCTAAAATGAGCCGGTTCATAAAGTTCCTCAATGTGATGTCACAAAAAGGAAATGAGTACATAAACCATACTTTCACCTGCCTAGGCTGGAGGTGTAACTTCTCTATTCTGAATCCCTTCCTGATATTTGAGCTCCTCATCCCATAGCAGCCAATCAGGGATGGGTGGGCGTGGCCAGCAACAGCTTGTTGCTTTAAAGTGTGAGAGCCCTGAAACGGCTCATTCTGGAAGATCCTGAAAATGTCAAGAATAGAGTTGTTTTATGTGAGAGTGACGTAGGGGGAAGAACGTCGAAGAACAATTTTAACTCGTTTAAAAAATGGGACATTTTATAGCTTCAGCTCAATATCTGTGAAAGTGAGCTATGGCTGTTGTGTTAGCGAAGACCAATCGGTGTTTTTGTCTCCTAAGAAGTGGTGAAGTGGTCCAGAATGGACAAAGTCAGAAGCAGAGAGGAAAAAGAGATTTCCTCCAGAGGAATTCAGAAGGGATTCGATTCTCCAGTCTGAAGGAGTCAAGTTGGTCAGCTCGACACATCATCCCTCTTTTAAGTGTAAATGACAAGTCACGTGTCCCTTCTTCATTCAGAAGCTCTCCGTCACACTCAGCAGCGGCCATGACTCCAGATTACTCCATAAACGGGATTTACGGCGGCTCGCTTTTCCTTTTAGGTTCTTTTTTGTATTTGAAAGGAAAAGGGGTCACGGTATCACAATGGTGGACAAAAGTGGTCTTATGGTCCACATCTCCCAGTTCTCTCACTGTCCTTTCATCCCTGTTGCCTCCTGCTTTACTTTCTTTCTCCTCCTCAGAAAATGAGTCAGGAGTTTGAGATTAAACGGCTGTCGCTGGAGGAGCAGAGGGACCGTCTCCAGCAGCAGCTGGACAACTTGAAAGAGGAGCTCACGGCCAAACTCAACATGGCCAATCAGGACGTACGACTCATCCGTTTACATGTCTCACATGTCTAATATGCCCCTTTTTCACTGATGACGCGAGTGACAACCACCCGATGGTCTCCACAGGTGTCCCACCTCCAGGAGCTGGTGAGAGAGGGGGAGCAGAACATGAGCTCAGCCAAGACGCAGATAAGCTGTCTGAAGGAAACTCAGGAGAAGCTCCGGATCGAGCTGGACGCAACCAGAGCTCGAGTTCGAGAGACTAGCAACCTTCTCACTGACCTGCAGGTAGGTGCAGAAGGTGTTGTCTCAACGATCTCAGCTACGTTCAGAGGTGCAGCGTAGCTGTCAGACTTCTACGGGCCCGAGAAGGTGCAAGTCCCAGTCAAGTTTTTAGTCTCTGATGTTCAGTAAGAATTTGAGGTCCAAGTCAAGTCTCAAGTTTTGAGAGGGTAGTCCTAGTCGAGTATTTGAGGAAAAGGTCCAAGTCAAGTCTCAAGTCTTTAAAGAGCAAATCCAACTCAGACCGTAGGACTTTGAGGTCCAAGTCAGGTCTAAAGTCTTTGAGGAGCAAGTCAAGTCTCAAGTCTTTGGATTTTGATTTCAAGTCAAGTTTTACGTCAAGTCTGAGGTCTTAGTGGAGCAAGTCCATTTCACATTCCAAGTCTTTAAGGTGCAAGTCCAATTCAGGTCTCAAGTCTTTGAATATTGATTCAAGTCAACTCTTAAGTCAAATCTTAAATGAAATTTCAAGTCTTTGAGGATCAAGTCCATGTCACATGCCAAGTCTTTAAGGTGCAAGTCCAAGTCAAGTCTCAAGTCTTTGATTATTGACTTCAAGTCAAGTCTTAAGTCAATTCTCAGGTCTTTGAATATTTATTCAAGTCAACTCTTAAGTCAAGTCTCAAGTCTTGGAGGATCAAGTCCAAGTCAAGTCTTAAGTCAAGTCTCAAGTACTTAAGTGGCAATTCCAAGTCAAACCTTAAACCTATAAAGGGCTTGACCATGTTTTCTTGCATCTTCATAGGGCAAGTCCAAGTCACGTCTTAAGTTTAAGGATTTTAAGTCCAAGGTGAGTCCAAGTCTTGAGAGGCCCAAAAAAGGTCAAGTTCAAGTCTAATTTTATGTTTCTGAGGTACAAGTCTCAAATATTTAGAGAGTGAGTCTGATTCAAGTCACTAGGCTTTGTTCCATTGTTTTTGATACCCAAGTCCTAGTCTCAGACTCGAGTCCACATCTAGTTTCTTAAAAACACTCGTTCTAAAGCCTCTTCTTCTCTTTACCTCCCTGATTCAAACACTCACATCTTCACATGGTTAGAGTTCAGTCAGTCTGCAGAAGATGGAGTTTCTCCAGGAGCAGGAGGAGCAGGAGGAGCAGGGCGGCAGAACGGGAACGTCGCTAAACATTCTGAACGCGAAGGAGCAGGAACCGAGGAAGATGAGCGCGGCGCTGAAGGCCAGCTGTGAGATAATGATGATGAGGCCATTGTGAGTGGAGTGGTCCTGTTGGAGCGAGAGGAGAGGAGCGTTGTGCAGGAGAGAGAGGGGGAGGGCTGGATACTGAAATTATGGGATGCACACTTTTCATGAACAAAGGAAAAGATAAGTGAAGAAAACAGGCGAGAGGAAAAATAACAAGCAGTAATTAGCAGAAACTGCAGCGGTCCGCTTCTCCATCCTTTCAGCGCCGCCGTCTATTTAAAGCAGGAGATTTGGATTAAAGGCAGCGCAGGATTTTACCGTTTGTTCACTCTGAGCTCGATGCGGCTCAGACAAAAGCAGCTGAGGCCAGACTGGATCAGTTTTTGTTTAGCAGGGGACGAGTCTGGTTGCTTTTATAGAAGCAGCAGAGACGAGGGTAGACCGCTGTGTCAAAGATAGACACAAAGCGTGTTTTCCAGGCAGACTCAGAACCTCCTGAGATGATAAAAGCTCAGATGAAGAGGAGAAACTCAGCAGATGTTCTTCATAAGCAGCCTTCAGGGTACGCCGTGACTCTGTAGAGGAAAACTTCAGCAGCAGAACTGCTGAAGCATCAAATAAAACCCAAACACTCAGTTCCTCTTTTCCAGTAGAGAAGCTTTTACCGTTTTCAGATGCACTGAAATGTCATCGTGTCATAATTTATGCTCCAAGTCTGGGATGAAGCACTCGAGCGAGCGGCTTCTCCTCGCAGCAGAAACAAAAACCAGCTCATAAAGCCGGATCCTGTCCTGATGGAGCTGGCCTCCGTCATGGCCGCCCTGGAGCTGCTGCACCAGGAGTGGATGTGTAGGTGGGGATGAGCCACCCTGCTGCAGTGTGTGGTCGGACACAGACGGGTTTTATCTTCATAAACATTCGTAAACAGACTCGTGTTTACTTGTTTTCTTCTTGCAACGAAGGGTCCAGCGGATAAACGAGGTCTGCTGCTGTTTTCAGGAGGAGATCGAGAGCCAGAAGCAGCAGCACGACGCCAAAGTGATGGCCATCAGGACGGAGGAGAAGCAGAAGATGGACAAGATGGCCGACGACTTGGATCAGAAATGGAGAGATGCTCTGAGGTGAGGAAAATACCTGACACCTGTTGTCCTCATGGATGTTAATCAGAATCAATCAGGAGACAGAGTTTGTGTGTTCGTCTGTAGGGAGGAGGTGCGTCTGCTGAAGGACGAGCTGACGGAGGAGTACGAAGCAGACAAACAGGCGGCGCTGACTCAGCTGTCCCAGCAAAAGGAGCTGGAGTTGATGGCGGCCAGAGAGGGCTGGCAGAGGAAAGTGGAAGACCTGCTGGAACAGGTGAACCCCCCCGTGTCACCGCCATTAACCAGCTGCCACAGGTTAGGTCTCAGCCAGGACGTTTCAATCAGAATGGACGCCGTGTGGTGGTGGGGACGCCTAGTTGGGACACCGTGTGTCAGACTGCTAGTGGGGACGCCGAGTGTCAGACTGCTAGTGGGGACGCCGAGTGTCAGACTGCTAGTGGGGACGCCGAGTGTCAGACTGCTAGTGGGGACACCGTGTGGGGACGCCTAGTGGGGACGCCGTGTGTCACACTGCTAGTGGGGACACCGTGTGTCACACTGCTAGTGGGGACACCGTGTGGGGACGCCTAGTGGGGACGCCTAGTGGAGACACAGTGTGGGGACGCCGTGTGGAGGCATCATATGTCAGACTGCTAGTGGGGACGCCTAGTGGAGACACCGTGTGGGGACGCCGAGTGGGGACACCGTGTGGGGACGCCGTGTGTCAGACTGCTAGTGGGGACACCGTGTGTCAGACTGCTAGTGGGGACACCGTGTGGGGACGCCGAGTGGGGACACCGTGTGGGGACACCGTGTGTCAGACTGCTAGTGGGGACACCGTGTGGGGACGCCGAGTGGGGACACCGTGTGGGGACACCGTGTGTCAGACTGCTAGTGGGGACACCGTGTGGGGACACCGTGTGTCAGACTGCTAGTGGGGACACCGTGTGGGGACGCCGTGTGTCAGACTGCTAGTGGAGACACCGTGTGGGGACGCCGAGTGGGGACACCGTGTGGAGGCATCATATGTCAGACTGCTAGTGGGGACGCCTAGTGGAGACACCGTGTGGGGACGCCGAGTGGGGACACCGTGTGGGGACGCCGTGTGTCAGACTGCTAGTGGGGACACCGTGTGGGGACGCCGTGTGTCAGACTGCTAGTGGGGACACCGTGTGGGGACGCCGAGTGGGGACACCGTGTGGGGACACCGTGTGTCAGACTGTTAGTGGGGACACCGTGTGTCAGACTGCTAGTGGGGACACCGTGTGGGGACGCCTAGTGGGGACGCCTAGTGGAGACACAGTGTGGGGACGCCGTGTGGAGGCATCATATGTCAGACTGCTAGTGGGGACGCCTAGTGGAGACACCGTGTGGGGACGCCGAGTGGGGACACCGTGTGGGGACGCCGTGTGTCAGACTGCTAGTGGGGACACCGTGTGGGGACGCCGTGTGTCAGACTGCTAGTGGGGACACCGTGTGGGGACGCCGTGTGGGGACACCGTGTGGGGACGCCGAGTGGGGACACCGTGTGGGGACACCGTGTGTCAGACTGCTAGTGGGGACACCGTGTGGGGACACCGTGTGTCAGACTGCTAGTGGAGACACCGTGTGGGGACACCGTGTGTCAGACTGCTAGTGGGGACACCGTGTGGGGACACCGTGTGTCAGACTGCTAGTGGGGACACCGTGTGGGGACGTGTGGCGTATAAAATTCTGCTGCTCTGACTAGAACGACTAGAAGAACCGTTTGTGACCAGACGTCATGAGGCTGACCTTTAACCCCTCCTTTCCTCCTGATGATTGGTCCTTCCAGCTGAAGCTAAACATGGAACCGTCACACAGACATGTCCCGCCCTCGTTAAGAAAACCATCTCCAGCTTCAGGCACTGGTTAGTTCCCAGTCCTCCTGAACGCTGCCCCGGTGATAAACGGTTTTATCGTTTTCACACACGTGTGCTCGCTGACACTGATAAAGAACCTTTTTTTTTTGTCACACTCCTTTTCTAATTAAACACGAAGAGGCGGGGCTGTCTCCGGCGCCCATTCATGGTGATCTAACTGCCTCTGGGTAACCGGCCGAGGCTCGGCTGTCTGGATTCAGTCGCAGCGCTGGCGGCCCCAGATAAATATTTCTGTTGAGTTTGATCCAACCACCTCCGAGTCCAGCCTGGCCGCGTTTCAGACGTCCTCCTCACTCCATCACAGCCGTGACTAACTTCCTGGTGAAGGAACCGCGTTGCGTGCCGTTGTTGTTTGGGGAGAAGAATATAAAAGCTCTCATTAGAGACGCAAGGCTGGACCGTGGCTCAGAGCAAAACGTTTTTACTCCAATATGCAGGTGAGACTACACCTGTGTGTGTGTGTGTGTGTGTGTGTGTTTTCTTCAAATAGCTTAAAAATATATATTTTAGCCCCTCAAAAGCCCTCGGTTGTGTGTTTTAGAGGTCGACATGTACCGTTGGTGTTGTCCTTTTTGATTCTGACTTCATCCTTTCCGACTCTCAGAGACTTCCTCCTCTGGCACCTCAAGCGTTCCCAGACCATCTGGGAGATCTCATCTCTGGGTCTCTTGTGTCCTCTCACTCGTATGGGACTTTAGAAAAGCCATCTAGAAAGTCTGATCGTCCTCCACTTTCAGGTCCCTTTGGGTCCTCCAGGTCAGCTTCCTGCCATCTGATCCAACTCGTGGTCAGATGGTGCTCAGATCACAGCATGAGGGCTTATTAAGGGACTAAACTACCGTGAAGGTGCTCCATGACCCTGGAACGAGGTTACCTGGCTGTAGAAACTCTGATGGGATTATTATGGACATATAAGCTCACGCTCCTTTTGGCCCAACAGTGACTTTATTCCGCGGTTTTGGCCTTCATGACCTTTGGTGACAAACATCACAGTCACCAAATCACCACCATCTCCATGTTCTGACGCGCTACGGTTAAAGGCGTCCTTAGCAACCTTTTCATGAATCATCTTCTTGTGTAGAGTGTGTTAAAATGACTAAGATGTTAATGAAAGGCCACCCAGCCCCAATCGCCCCTGTGGCCACAGTTTCGCACTTGCAACTTCAGACTGCCGGTCTGGTCTGTTGGACTTCATCGTGTCTGGCTGCGGAGCACAGCTGATATGATGAACCGCTCCTGTAGACACTAATGAAGGCTGGGAGACGTTGCAGCTGTTAGATGAAGGTGTTAAAAAGACAAACGCACAATGAGGAAATGGATTTCGTTTTCAGTTCTACAAATGGACACTGGGGGGAGCTAAAAACAAGTGAGTTCCCTTTGGTTAGGTTTAGGCTTAGGGCTGTGGCGTTTGTTTACTCCCTTTGAACATCTAGTGAAGCTGAGTTCTTCGTGACACAATAAAAACCGACAGGTCAAGGATGATCAGCTGATTTGGTCGAACTTTCTCTTCAGCCACCACCGTTCCATTTCCAGATTAAAGCAGAAATCCAGAGTTTTTCTCAGAGGGCACCATCTAGAGGTGAAAAGCTGTATTGCACCACAAGCCCCTCTCCCTGCTTCCATGGTTACAGCTGGAAGCAAAAGCATCACAGCACAGAGGAAGACTTTACGGCTCTAAAATCCTCCATAATTCCTGAAAGGGAGAAAACTCCGGATTGCTTCTTTATTCCCAGGCTGGGACAACACTTCCTGCTACATTTACACACAGCTTTAAAACATTCTGGCTCTTTCAGAGCATCACCTGCTTCTTCCACACCTCGGTGCCTTTAAAAGCTCTGCAGAAGCTTCGTGTTCAGACCCATCACCAACCTAACGAGCTTTTGTTGTGGAATCATTGTCAGGAGGGTTTCATTAGCGCTCTTGTAGCGGTGGTGTGTGTGTAAAATAAACAGGAAGTAAATGAGAACGCTTGTGTCTGTCGGGAATGGAACAAGTCCGAGTAGAAGACGAGTCAGGCTGTTATTTATCGAGGATGAAAGACCTAAGGATGTGCCTTCGTTATCTATAATGGCTTCTGTTTCATTAAGGTGTTTTCATTAAAAGCTCCTACCCTCAGGCTGCTGTGTGTGTGTGTGTGTGTGTGTGTGTGTGTGTGTGTGTGTGTGTGTGTGTGTGTGTGTGTGTGTGTGTGTGTGTGTGTGTGTGTGTGTGTGTGTGTGTGTGTGTGTGTGTGTGTGCGTGTGCGTGTGTGTGTGTGTGTGTCAGTTGCCTCTGACGGAGAAGGTGAGCAGGTCAGCTGTCGGTTGAAATTGTTCTAGAATAAAAAGGAGGAAGAAGCTGATCCGAGGCCTCGCTCCTCATCCTCTGGTTTAAAATCATCTTACCTTCCAGCTCCTGGTGTCGTACTTCTGCTGCTATGAAATCCTGCGTGGATTTCATAGCCGGAGGAGCAGGAAGAGTGGCGTTTAAAGGTCCAGAGCGGGCTCTCTGAGCGAGCTCTGCCAGTCTCCGCCGCTAACCGCCACCCCTCTAAACAAAAGCCACTCGGCTTTCTCTCATCTAGCCGAGTGTGCTGTCACTCTGTGACGGTGTGGCTGTCAGCTCATCAACACCAGCAGAAGAATCTCTGTTCAGCTTATTTCTGTGACTAAATCACCTCCGCTGTCTGGTGGAGCTGGAAGCTGTCTGCTGAGGAGATGCTCTCACATGAGGATTAGTCGAAGACTCGCAGGAGGAAAACAAAGACAGCCAGAGTGTTGACCTAATTAAGAAAACGCCGCCATTTGAAGTAGCTGCTCTTTTCCTGGAGACGAAGCGGATTCTTCTTGAAACATGGAGTTCTGGGTGACTTTGATGCTGACGATGAGAGAAGTGAGTTCAGCGCCTCTGAGCTTAGCTTGTGTCTCTGTGCAGATCTCCCTGCTGAAGCAGTCTCTGGAGCTCCAGCTGAACCAGTCGCAGTCAGCCCTGCAGCAGCTGCAGTCCCAGTTCAGCCAGGAGAGGGAGCTGCTGAGCCAGCAGCTCAAAGGTGAGCCTCAGGGAGTACACCCCGAAACCTGACAGCGTGTGTTACATAAACTCATGAGGACATTTGCGTCATTGTTGCAGATTTTTGTTTAAATAAAAATGTGATTAAAATAAAAATCCTCCCAGGTGGGAGTCTTCGGTTGTGGTGTTGGCACTCCTGCCGTATGGCTGGAGCAGTCTGTGGGGTTAAAGGTGATTCAGACCCATCTGTTTTTTACATGTCTACGTTCATGCCTGTGGGTTTGTGTTCACAGAGCTGCAGAGAGAGCATCAGAGGAGGGAGCATCGGCTACAGGAGGCCCACTGCTGTGCCCTTAGCACCATGGAGGAAGCCCGGCAGCATCAGATTAGAGTACGACACACACACACACACACACACACACACACACACACACACACACACACACGCACACACACACACACACGCACGCACGCACACACACACACACACACACACACAGACATGCATGGAAAAGTGCACATTCTCTTTTGGATTTTATCTCCAAAAATCTTCTTTTTTAGTAAAACGTAAATCAGAAAATGTGAAAGATATTTGTGTTTCCTCTGATCACCTTTAATCTTAGTGAGCAGTTCATTTCTGAGGCACGGCTCTGTTCGGAGGTCGGTCGACTGTTTCACCGGTAATCATCTTCAAAACGGACACTTTGCAACATTTTCATGTTTTAAATCACTTTCTTTAGCCAGTCTGTGCAAAGCGACTTCACACTGGAAGCATCAGCTGTGCTCAACGGCAGCGGGACGTTTACTCGAGTACTGCGCGCCGCTCCACGCCGGGAGAGTCTCAGCCGCAGAGCGGCTTCTCCACCATCCTCCTCGCCAGACTCGCGAGATCACAAAATCCCTGAAGACCTCAAATTCAATAAAGACTTATTTATGACTGAAGGAAGATGAACTTTATTCAGAGAGGAAGTCTGCATGAGACCTTGAGCTGAGATATTATGGCCACCTGGTTCGGTAACAGGTCTTGTGCCGTGCTTTCTTGCCAGACAGATGTGGTGTTTGTGTCTGCAAATTAAAAGTTAATTTCTGCTCATTTTTGATGTAAACTTGACCTTTGGGTACGCTACACGTGTGAACGCTGATACCTCCAGTGGCGGTCGGGGTCAGGGTGTTTAGTGACAATAGAAGCCACATCAGGATTTCACCAGAAAATGGAAAGTTCACTAGTAAAAATGTAAACAAATGAGAACAAAGGGGTGATCTGGCTTTGAGATGAGTCATTCCAAATGGACTGAATTTGTCTCCATCTTTGGCCCTTTGTGGGTTTCTGGTGTGAGAAGTGCAGCTGGTGTCTGATCGGCACTCGGCAGAAGAAGGTAAACATCTCCATGAGACTATTTGTTGCTGGAGTCTCTAGTCAGCCACTTTATCCTGGAGTTATTTCCTTCTGAGATGAAATGGAAGCCTCTTCTAGTCTGGAGAGCGTAATAGTCGTCATTACAGCAACCTGATAATCAGAAGGAGAAAAGCTTCTGCTGCAGGCTGAATGAAGCCAGTCGTGTTGTCTATCGATCCGTTTAAAGATGCTTGAAACGCTGCGATAAGGAAACACAGGAGGAGCCGTGGAGCTTTAACTCTTGCTGGAACAGCTGATGAATGATTATCACATGAATCACGTTGTGCGAGGCTAATTAGCCTGAATTAGCTCCCGTCATAACTCCTGTAGTTTTTCAAATTCAATTCAAATTCAAAGACACTTTATTAATCCCAGAGGGAAATTAGAGTTTCAGTACACACAATTCTGAGATCAGACATACATAGGCATAGACACATGACAAGAATTGGTGACTGTGGTCATTCGTAACCCCGAGTCGCCCTACCTTAATAGAGATCAGAGGGGTTTACATGAGGATTGGTTCAGGTGGAGGAACAAAAGGCACTTCATAGTTACCCTCCACAGGAAGCACAGCTTTGCTATGCAAAACAAACACCTTCGACAGAAATGCAACAGACTTCAGACATCACACAACATAAGTGTCCACTAGGTGGAGTGGTGGGTTTGGGACTCTCCACACGTCAGTTCCTGCAGCTACGAAAAGCAGCGCACGTCACCTCAGTCTGGACAGGGGAGGGAGGTCATTGGGGTTTGCGGGGCACAGTGACTCCTGGAATGATTCGGCGGCCTTCACAGCTCGCAGTCCCTTCCAGGCTGGGATAGGGAGACAGAGTTGCCATAGCAACGGCAGCATTCCACATTTCTTCTGAGGGGGGAGTATTCGTTTCAGCCTCAGGCTCAAGGGCACCAGATTCAGATAAGGAATTGTTTTGGGGCCAGACAGAGATAATTTCCTCTCTGTCTTAAAGTTCTGTTGGTCCTCAACCTCTCAAAATCCCAATAATTGCGTAAATTAATCTATCCCAATCCGTGCTGATTTGTCCACTCGCTCCTTGATGGCATCCATCTTTTGTGCCAAAGCATGAATCTCAGCCAAAGTTCCAAGCTTACAACTCATCTCGACAATTATATGAGTCTGTGAATTCACAGCGCGCTGTAATGCATCCCTGAGCTCGGGGAGAGCGCCAATATTCCTCGACAGCTCGTTAGTTTTCCGGTAAGCCAGATAACCTCTTAGGCCGAAGAGCAGGAAACCTGACAGCAACACCACGGATATCCGGACATCTTCAGAATCCTCTACAGACAGCTAAGAGAGGCAAAACAGGTTCCACTATTTCCAGGAGTCCATGATATACCCAGCTGTCTCTCCCAGAGGGGCACCCGGGAGCCCCTTCTCCCGTTCTCATCATTGAAAAAAGTTTGTCAATCGTGACCAACTGACCACGTCCATTTTGGTAATTTCAGTTTCCAGAAAAAATGCAGAAGCAGCCGTACACCCACAGACAGACAAAGAGCCTTGGGATAAGATAGGGAGGAGAGGAGGAAAAAAACGTCTGTACTCTCCAAGAGCCGGAAGAAGAAGGCCTGCAGGTCTTTTTACATTCTTGTTTAATTTCATTAAACTGAAATCAAAAATCCAAAACTAGAATGTGTCTGAAAACAGCTCAGCCACAGCTAGGTGGGTTTATAAACCGTACAAAAGGTGTAACAAACTCCAAAAATGTTAAAGCTGCTGCCAGTGGCTCATCAGGGTCACCACCGTTGGTCGGGTAGGTCTCCATGGTAACGTCTCACCTGTGCCACTCCCTGGCGGTGTCCTTCGTAGGACGTGGTCCGTGTAGGTCGGGTTCTGTGAAAGTGGACAATCTAGCCATGGCATTTATTCCCACTCGCCGTTTGTCCTGTTGCCTGGCAACCGTGACCACATGATGAGGACAAAAGCCTAACAACCCAACCAATTTAAGCTTTTTATTCTCACACCCCCAGATTTTATTGTTCTTGCATTTAAAACGGTTTCGTCCGCCACCGTTACAAGAACAATGACTCATCCTTGACATTAGGATGGATCTGTGGGCCTTGTTGCTTTGCTGTGAGGTAATCTTGCTTAAATGTGGCTGACAGGGTTCTCACCTAATCTCCTTTTTCACCCCAGAGAGAAGAGAAGAGCAAGAAGGGATCCAAAGCTGCATCGCCACATTTAGCTTCATTTCTCTCACCCGCCCCTGTCCTTTAATCTCCCCATTCTGTCTTCCATCAGGCCCTGGAGGAGCGTCTGAAGCAGGAGCAAAGGGAGGAGGTCCACGCTCTGAAGGAGGCCCACAGGAGGACGTTAGAGATCCTCCGGCAGCAGTCGGATCAGGAGCTGCAGACGCTCCGATTTGAGCTGGAAGACGACGGGAAAGCGAAGCTGGGTAAAAACTCGTCTCTGAAGTCACCGATTAGCCGTCCAGCCTCGCTGACATCTCCTGTTGTTAGGCGTGTTTGCTGTGTCCAACCTTCTGTTCTATGAAGGTCCTCCGGTTGAGATGGGTCCGTACTAAAGAACCAACATTTAGACTGTAATTATAGACCAGAAGGACCACGGTGGAGCTGTAAAACTTCTGGAGATTAAAACAAGCTGATTTAACTCATGAACAACCGTCTGCATCAGAGTCAGCCCCTTTAATGTTGTCTGCGGTTGGTCGGAGTTTAATGATCCTCCGCTTTTGTGTTTCCGCCTGGCAGCCTCTCTTCGAGCAGAACTCAACCACCTCCATGCCGCATCCATCGAGCATCTGAAGCAGATTCACATTAAAGAAAACACGTCGGCCAAAAGAGAGCTGGAGAAAGCGATGGAGCACAGCCACCAGCAGGTAACTACAGGTGTTATTCCCTTTAAATCAAGCTTTATTGTCAATCTGCAGTCGTAACGCCACTGAAACCTTTCTGAGCCCCTCCTCCCAAAAGTCACATCGCTACGGTAAATGCATTCAGATCAGTCTGGGATGTGTTGAATAATCAAAAGTAGAACCTAAAGAGACTCTAGAGTTTATGGAGCGGATGTGAGGGGTCATTGACGATGCCATTTGCCCTGGAAGCCATCTTGGATGGGGGAAGGGAAGCTCAGCTAACCTCTGCAGGTCTTTTTACCAATCTTATCGCTACTGGAACAGCAGACGGACCAACAGTACGGTGAAGGCTCTCTGCCGCGCCTCGGTAGAGACTTCTGGTGACGCTGGTGGGAGGAGAAGCGTGTTTCGTTCTCCTTAGGAAGGTCCTTTTTTGCTGGACCTGATTGCTGAGATGGGCCAGCTGAAGTCCTGCAACATCTGGACCCCTAGAAACCTGATGTCCTCTCCTGGATAGCCTCACCTTGAGTCCAGAAGTCGATGATCATTTCCTTGGTTTTGTCTCTGTCTAGCAGCAGTTTTTTCTTTCGGCATCAATCGTCTTCGTGTTCATAATCTATCTTGAACTCATTGTTGTCGTGAAGTAGACCTACCACTGCTGTGTCATCTGCTTAATTACCACGAATATCCGGACACGCTGTTGGATGTTAGCGGAGTGAATTGCGTTGTGCTGAGAACACAATCCTGAGGAGATCTAGAGCTCAACGTAATGCCCTTGGAGGTGTTTTTGCCAACGTTGGTCAGGAAGTCCAGAATCCAGACCCAGCAGGTGGTGTTTGATCCAAACAAGAGATTCTCTATCACTCTCTGTGGGGTGAAGAGCTAGTCGATGTGCAGGACTCTGGCATATGCGTCTTTATTTTCCAGGGGATGTTGTGCAGGGTGGAGGACGTCGCACCCTCAGTGGGAACGGTTGTACCTGCTCCTTTATGTCGGTTAGATCTGCTTAAATTCTAAGCAGGGTTAGGGTTAGGGTTAACCCAGCAGCTCAGGAGGAAGAGCGGGTTGTCCAGTAATCAGAAGGTTGCAGGTCCGATCCCGGCTCCAACCAGAGAATGCTGCTGTTGTGTCCTTGGGCAAGGCACTTAACCCACCTCACCTGCTGGTGGTGTTCGGAGGGACCGGTGGCGCCAGTGCTCGGCAGGCCTCGCCTCTGTCCGTGCGCCCCAGGGCAGCTGTGGCTACATCGTAGCTCATCAACACCAGCGTGTTTATGATGACTGAGTGTGTTGTGAAGCGCCTTGGGGGGTTGTAGAACCCTAAGAAGGCGCTATACAAATACAGAGCTGGTTTAGTGTCTCTGAACCTCTCCTGGTCATAAATTGTCTGAAATGTCATCATTTCTCCCCGTGAATACATTTTCTGTGTGCCTTTTTAAGGAACAGGAACTCCTGGTTCGACTAGCCGACCTTCAAGGAGAGGTGTGTTCCCGTAGCAACCGCATCACTGATCTGGACCATGAGATCCACTCTCTTAATGAGACTATCGACACTCTGACCCGAGAGCTGGAGCTGAAGGGCAAGGAGGTGCTGCGAGTCCGAAGTGAAGCGAACCATCAGATAAGGTAGAAACACAGCAGATCAGCGGGGCATCGATTCCTCCGATACCTGCATCTGCACACGATCGTTACCCGAGAGGAATCACACATAATGCGCTTTGGCTAATTTCCTTAAGGGGCAGGGCCAAACAGTGACTCAGCAGAAAATGACCCAGTTCTCACATGTCTAATCTCAAGCTCATCTCAGTAAGGCATGACCTTTGTGAACAGGGTGTGATCAAACACAATCTTCATGGGAGTATTTATGTCCGAGAACCAGAAGTCTTAATGAGTTATCGAAAACCAGTGAAGCTCTGAGATTTAATAAGCTCAAACCAGAAGATCAATAAAAATGGCCAAATGGTAATTTTGTATTTCTCACGGCAGGAATGCACGCGAACACTGGAACGCTTCAGTAATGTTTGCCAGTCGGTCGTACAAACCTGTGGGTTACAGTAGCAGAGATTAGTGCACTGGTTCAGATTAAAGAAAACGCTTAAATTTACAAAGAAACCATTAACTTACTTAGACACAGGAGTAGGATCCAAGAAGTAAGAGACTTTTATCAGATGGAGCAAATTCACTTACACTAAGACTCCTAAAGGCTAGCTAAAGATGGGCCCTACTAAGTAAGTAATGTTAAGCTAGATTTTCAAGAGTGCCGGGTCACTTGGATTCCTTATTGATGTTCAGTGCCTCATACACACATGTATTATCTCCTCTTGAGGTAAATCCTGTTTCTGCCTCTCGGTGTGTCTCCAAGCAGATGAGTCTCTTTATGTTTTCTTCATTTCTAAATTGTTTAATCGTTTGAACATTTTATTATTGATGGGTTTGTTCATTTGGGAGTGGCAGCTACATTTCTGTGCTTTGTTCTCTGCAACTTTAATTGGCACTAACAAATGCATAGTAAAAAGTGTAAGAAATACAGAGTCAGTTTCCCGGACAAGCCCCCAACTTGTTCTGGCCTAGCTCAAAGAGCATAAGTGAAAAGGGCGAAGATCACATCAGTTTTTTTGTTTTGTTTTTACGAAACTAACTAAAAGCACAAAACCAAAGCTGTCCTGGGGTAGAACAGGAAAGCACAAGAGGCTCCTTAAAAAAACAGGAAAAGGTGGTTGGAGAAATTTATGAGAACACTTTGTGATTTTTCATTTGTAAAAGTGTCATTTTCAGTAGCACGACTGCAGAGATGCACCTGAGAGAGCAATTCGTTTAAACAGGATAGGTGAGTGTTAGTAGATAATTATGAAGTCAATGAAGCTGCTACTTTGTCGTTTTGAAGAATCCTAGCCCTAACCAAAAACGGCTAACGACAAACTAGCTTTAGCTAAACCACGGTTATTTAAAGAGTTAAGGGCTCTAATGGTCATCCATTGATCAAGCAGACAGCAGTCTGTGATTAACTTGTCCAGTAATTCTGGCTCTGCCACATTCTGCTCTGCAAATATAATCACACAGATAAACTAATACCCTGCTCCTGACGTCGTAACCATGGATACTACTTTTTAAAGTATTTCAGGACCATATACTGCTTAAACTTCAGGCTAAATTTAGCTCCAACGTCCTTATTTATAAAAAGTGGTGTCAATGAAATGGGTCCCTACCAGGAAATTGGCTACATGAGGGATGCTATGATCCCGTGCTTATTAAACCTCCATAAGTAAGCATCCAGTGCAGGTTGTAACATGGATCATGCTTATGCCACAGAGCCCATGAGCAGGATCTCATAAAGAGACACGAGAGGGACCTGGAGGAGCTGAAGATCGTCCACCACAGAGAAACACAGATCATGCTGGCTGACTTCAACAAGGCCCAGGAGGTTCTGAAGGACAAGATTTCTGCTCTACAAATACTGTAAGTGTCCATGGTCCTCAGGTGTCTTATTTCTCCTTGATAATAAGAATTTTTGTCTTTTTTAAGGTTGGAGGGTACAGAGGAGAAGTTAAGGAACAGAGAAAGCCGACCAGAAGACCTGCATATCATAGCAGAGCTCAGAGAGATGGTGACTGAGAGGGAAGCTCTGGTGAAAAAGCTGGTGGTGAGCAGAGAAAATCACTTCCACAGGCTGAGATGTGCAGGTTTATCATCTTCAGTCCTGGTTTATCAGGCCAGGAGTTCAGGCTCTAAAGGGTAAAACCAAACTTGGTGCAGAGGAAGTAAAGCTGAATTATTTCATCGTCATGTGGACATGACACGTGTTCCTAAAGGTGGAAGATTTAGGATGAATTATTGCTTTTTTAGGATGACAAGAAGTTCTACCAGTTGGAGTTGGTCAACAGAGAGACGGGCTTCAACAAGGTCTTCAATTCCAGTGCCAACGTTGGTGTCATCAACCCCCTGATCAAGGTGAGATCGCTCTTCTGAGTGGGAGAAGCAATGGCTTCCGGTCTACGTTTCAAAGGTCCAACCCCCTTTTCAGGCTCCGCCCTAAGCCACACCCCCAGACTTCTATAATATGTAACAACCCTAATTACATAACATCACCCTACCTTTTGACCCATTGTTGGCATCTTTTCTGCCGTAGTTCTTAACGTAACGCGTCTACGTAACGGCCGCGGCGCCTGCAGGCGTCTGACGGCATCCTCATAGTCTGGTGTCGATCACGAGTTCTCCAGACGCCACTGGGAAAGTCCGAGATCCCACTGGGAGGACTGGAATTATTCTGCCCTACACAACCATATAACAATGGATTATGCTAGCTGATATAGCTAGCCCAGATCTGGCTTCACTTCCTGTCCAGCTGCTGCTAGCCAAGAACGCACGGTTCGTGCACATGGAGGGTATCTGCAGATTGGGGAGGGGCGGTCAGAGGGCAGGTTGGTGGATGGCTCAGAATCCAATCATTAAGAGCGGGACGAGGTTTTTCCTGGATTGTGTGTTTATTGGTTGTCGTCTGTATGTGAAGAGCATGTCAGGTAAAAAAGGCTCCAGACGAAGTTCTTCTAGCACCTTTAAAGAGCACCCTGCATGGTTGCGTTTCCAGGTCCTCGGGTTTATAAAGATTCACTTAAGAGTGAGCAGGCTGGTTTCCTGGAAGATGCTGCAGGTGGAGGCGCAGCGGCAGCTACTACCTGCTGCTCTGCAGTCGGTCCGAGGCCACAGATGCACAAGTCATACGTCTTTGATGAACCTGCTAGCTGCGCCTGTTGAGATGCTTTTGCACCACTACCTTTATCTGGAAATGCACGTGCGCACCTTTACTCACTTTTGCACATTTGACTTTGCACATCCAAGATTTTAGCTCCTAATATAGCGATCTGTTGTATCTGAGGTCTCAGTTTTAGCGTAAATGCAAACATCTTCAGCGTAGCTGCAGATAACAGTGAGTGAAAATCTTCTGCAGTCTCTCAAAAGGCCTCCGAGTCCGCCGCTGCAGCCCTGCCGCCGCTAATCATCAGTAATGGACGGTAGAACAGTTTACCGCCATGCTTTATGTTTCTGGATTATATTAGAATTGATCTGCTGAGATCCAGGCGCTGCAGCACTCCTCTGTGTTTCTGTTAGGAAAGAGGAATGTTTGTGTCCAAGATGCTTCCCCTTACCGGTTCATGGTTGATGCGAAGCCCCTCCTTCTGCCTCGGAGCGTCTGATCCTGCATGCGGTTTGTTTGTTCACAACGATCTGATGTGTGCCTGCGTGAAACGCTGCACACGTCTTCACATCCAGTTTGTCACGGAGCCGCTCCTGATCCTTTGTGTGCTCACAGCTGTCACGGCTAATGTGGCTGGAAAACAATCGCGCTCCGTTTTCAGTCACAACACGGGCTCATCATCCTCTCGTGTTACATCCTCGCCTCTGCACGCTCCGTGGGCTGCTTCCATTACACACCACCTCTCTCGTCTCCATCCCCCCGAGCCGAGGCAGGCATCTGGAAAATTAAAGGCTTAAGCAGCTTTGGTGAATGCAAACTAATGTTTCTGCTCTGTTTACAAAAACATCACGGAAACATCCACGGAAAGCCCCAGACACACCGCCAGGGCGGTGGGTCATCAAACCGTTTTAAAGGAAGTTTTTTAAATAAAGGTGTTTTTCACAGGAAGTCCAGCAGAGATGCAAAGCTGTGAAAGCTGGTGGATTTACAGAAAAAAATAACCTTTTCTAAAGGCTCAGGATGTTTAGATGAGGAGCATTTCAGGCTGTTGTGGGTTTTTCAAAGTAAAAGATTTCCTTTTTCTGGTACGGGACTCCTGAAGTGACCGTAAATGTCAATTTCTTAGTCAAATGTTTATTTTTCTTTTCATGAGCTTTTTACTTCTTTGGTCTGGGAGACAAAAGTCATTTATTGGATTTTATTCTCACGCCTAAAACAAGTAAAGAAACTTTTAATCCATTAAATGTAAACAAATATGTTTTTCTTCTATATTTAAAGGTTCAACTTGAAAAAAACTTTGTTCTTTGGATTTTATTAGAGTAAATGTTTTATTTTTTCAAGAAACCTTTTATTTTCCAAATTATTTAAGCTGCTCAAAAGTCTAAAGGTCCAGAGAACAATTACATTTGGTCAACTTAGATAATGAGATTATTTTCCCCCTGGCTTTTCAGGGCTTCCGTACATTTACCACATAAAACCTGAGTTATTCATACAATTATCGTTTTTGTCTTAGAAAACATGCAATCAACATAAATCCATGACAATCATTAAATATAATAAAACATCTAATCAGGGTTTCTTCATTCGGTCGGTAGAGATTTATGGCAAACTGATGTGTCATAAAAGGCTGTTTCTGTGTGTCAGGCTTTTATCATTAGTTTAATTTCTAGTTTATTTACAAATAGATGAGACGTTTAAGAGGTGAAGGTGTTTGATGACGAACAAAAGAAAACCATCGATAAAATAATCTGTTTCATCTGAGAATCCAGCAGAATCCTGCAGCGTTTCAGATTATCTGCTGTGTCTGAAGTGTTTACTATCAGCTGAGTGGGACATTATTTCTGACAGGATTCATTCTGATTTGATACAATTTTTGTTCTCGTGTCTGAAACGGTCTCTTCTTGGGTTTTGTGAAGAAAAATCTTGACTAATCAAATATCGTTTTTGGTGTAAAAACATTCAGAAGTTTCTTGATCAGATAACACCAGTCAGCCCCTCTCCTGACCTTTGACCCTGGCCATGATTATGATATGGAAACGTAAAACCACACCGATTACGATTGTTTCTTTTCTAATCCCAGAGTTTAGTTCGGTCCGGATCGGTTCTCACGTCTCACCTCTCTGTGTGTCTGTAGCCAGAATCAGGCAGCCAATCAGATCAGCACCTCGCTAGCCACTCAGCTCTTCGATTGGCTCGCCCTCCCACCATGAGCCGCCAGGAGTGGGGGGCGGGGGGGGGGGGGGGGGGGGGGGGAGGTAGGGCTGGGAGGCTGCCTTGTGCCTCCTCCCCACCCCCCACAGAGGTCCCTCCCCCGGCTTAAAAAAGCTCTGTTCAGTCCTGTTCTTCCTCCTTCTCCTCTACCTCAGCATCCTCCTCATCCCTCTCATCATCCCATGCCGAGCCTTGCTCCTCCTCATGCTCCTCAGGATCCTCATGTGCAGCATCAGGTCCTCCAGAGCTGTAGGAGGTGAGAAACGATGAGCTCCTGCCCCCCACTGCCGCAGGTCCCTTTGATTTTACAGCTGGGAGTGGAGAATGTGACGTCTGCTGCCCCCGGTGTCTGTAGCTGTTACTGCACTCTAAACCTTTCCTTACTCCTTTTTCCTTGCATGGCAGGGCCGGACCTAGTCCCTCTGGGGCCCGATGTCAGACACAAGCATGAGACCCCCCCCCCCCCCCCCCACACACACACACACCCTTATTTAGCTTTTATTTTTCCTCTCAGATGTTTTTGAGCCTTCAAGTCTAATTATTAAACATTAGAATATTTTGACTTTTAATAACTGATAATCTGAATAAATAATTGTCTTAAAATGTTTTTAAGTGTCTTAAAAAGTCCTTCATTCTATTACTAAACTGTCCATTTTAACTCGGAGCTATTTAACCATTGAAATCTGATTTGACTATTGTTTGATAAATTAGCTTGCCATAATTCCATATGTGGGGGCTTTTTGCAGTGAGGTACATTTTGTTCACACAAGTAGCTTAGCCTAATGAGCATTAACAGTAGCATTAGCAATGCTAACTGTGGTTAAAGTTAGTGCACGTTTGTTTTTGTTTTTCCTTTTACCTTTTATACCTTTGTCTTCTGATTTTAAGCAGCATAAATGACGTAATAACTTCCTTATTTAATGAGGCCAGAGGCAGTTTTTAACCTTTGCCTTGTGGGATTTTGACCTCTGAGATTTTAGCTTTATCCTTACAGATGAACAGCAGGAAGTTTCAACCATCGGCTAATAAAACCACTAATAGTTCTACGAGTTAAACTAGTTTTTATCATTTAGTTTGATGTTTATTTTCTGATCTTGTTGACTCGTGTCACGCTGTAAAAACCCTAAAAGTCAGCCACACAACATTTAAATGAGACCCGGGTCTAAATCGGAACACTGATGCGTCCATGTCCCGCCTCGCTGCATTGGATCAGGGTCAGAACACAAAAATAACAAACACACGTAATCCATCCCAATCCACTGAGCCTGTACCCCCCCCCCCCCACCACCACCACCACCACCACCCGTCTCCATCACAAACCAGACCCTCACATCCTCTCCTGTCTCTCATCAGCATCTGCTTTCAGCCTGAGCTACATGAAACCAGGTGGGAAGCTGATTTGTAAAACCTGACATGAAGAAGCCGTTTCCTCCTCTTGCCTTAGTGAAGGCGGAGCAGACAGGAGGAGGAGGCGTGCTGCAGCTGATCAGAGGTCAGCGGTAGGTCTGCTGCTGGTCCGTTCACAAACACTGATCTGCTGACTGAACTCCTCACTGGATCCCCGTCACACTCCGGCACCGGCTCAGCTCTCAGCTACCACACCGGGCCAATACCGTTACGGCCTCCCCAGACCCCGAGTGTCTCTCCGCCTTTTCCTCCTCTCCTCTCTTAAGAGCTCTTTTTCCTTTCCTTCCTCAGCCTTCCTGAAGCCAGCGCCACAACACTGGCCGAATCCAGAGGGACGGAGGCGGAGAACAAAAGCAAAGGAAATACAGCTGAAGAGGAGGATCTGTACTCTCAGTCCTTCACCTTCTGACCGGCAAAAAATAATCATCCTGATTCTGTCAAGTCAAGCAAAAAAAGGGAGGAGCAGTGGGACAGGGAACTACGGCGATCAGCGCCCACAACATGAGTCTGGCTACAGTCCTTAGGGCTTCCATACGTGTGTGTGTGTGTGTGTGTGTGTGTGTGTGTGTGTGTGTGTGTGTGTGTGTGTGTGTGTGTGTGTGTGTGTGTGTGTGTGTGTGTGTGTGTGTGTGTGATCTCTGAAGGTTTAACTTACAGCAGAATCAGGTTAAAATCATTAAATCTGGATAAAAACTGGTCACAGATATTATTCTGTTATTAAAACAGTCGACTCAGAACAAATTTACAGGGGAAGAAATGAAATCTAATTTATTTAACGGGTGAATTGCTGTTGAGTTTTTGGGTGAATCCAGCCAAACGTAAACATCAGCAGCTGCTGAGTTTTAGTTAAAAGGGCAGAAATCCAGTTTCATATAAAAGCGTGCTTACTCTGACCTGCTGTTTGACTTCTTTATTTATAATTATGTAAAGTATAGAACATGTTTCAGAAATCTGAATTTATTTATTTATATATTGAATGCGTTCACACACAGGTTCTCTAGTTTTCCCGTGTCACGAAAGTTGGTAACGGATGTGTTCCCGTTACGACCATCCCACCGTCACACACTCGTTGCAGGGCTGCCAACTCTCACACATTTGACCCTCTTCACACGCTCTCATGCCACACCTCCAATCTCTCACGCTAAACCAGCGCCTGCGCTCCCCAAACGTGCATCACACACAGTGTGTAGGGCTTTAAAACCAGATGATATTAATCATAGCATTAGCTACTGAACAACATGCTCACAAATAGCACTTAAGTCTTAATTTAACCGGCATATTTCACACACAGAATCCCATCTGTAGTTACATTTGTGACACGTAGCTGTAACTCTTTACTGCTGATGGATGGATGGATGGATGGGTGGGGGGTGGATGGATGGATGGATGGATGGATGGATGGATGGGTGGATGGATGGATGGATGGGTGAATGGATGGATGGGTGGGGGGTGGATGGATGGATGGATGGATGGATGGATGGATGGATGGATGGATGGATGGGTGGATGGATGGATGGGTGGGTGGGGGGTGGATGGATGGATGGATGGATGGGTGGATGGATGGATGGGTGGATGGATGGATGGATGGATGGATGGATGGGTGGGGGGTGGATGGATGGATGGATGGATGGATGGATGGGTGGGGGGTGGATGGATGGATGGATGGGTGGATGGATGGATGGATGGATGGATGGGTGGGGGGTGGATGGATGGATGGATGGATGGGTGGATGGATGGATGGAGTGAAGAAGTTCAGGAGAGTTGGATGTTAAATTTTCCTCACGAAAAGAAAATTAGTATTAAACAAAGGTCAGTTCCCTCTGTAAAGTCAGAGGTACAGAAGAGGATTAGGGCCACTGAAAAGAAAAAGAATTTTGACTTTTTTTCCTAGAATTCCGTCAGAATTCCAAGATTAAAAGTCAGAATTCTGTGAAAAAAAGTAAGAATTCTCTTTTGTTTCTTTTTTTTGGCTCAAATCCTCTTTCATACGGAGTAGAAATAAATAAATAAATTGTGGAGCACAAAAAGTCTCAATATTACCCTTTCCCCCCCCCCCACACACACACACACACACACACACACACCGCCACCCCCACCGCGCTCTAAACGGTCGGCGACTGTCCGACCCCGTGACCATATCTCATTCTTTGAAATATTCAAAAGTTGGCAGCCCCAGTTCACACACCATCCTTTAAGGCAACGAGGAATTATAACAAGGTAATAATGTTGGAATGTAATTATTTATTCAAGCATCTCCATGTTTTTAGAACTAGTTCAGTTTATTCGCTTGTTGTTTTCGCTGTGAGGGTTTAACTTTAATAAAGATGAAGTTAAAATCACATTTCGCTGAAAGAAAAGAAGGTTTTAAATAACCTGAAACTGTAATTCTGTTCTTTAATAAAACAGGAGTTGCTTCTGCTCTTGCAGACGGGTTAAATCCAGCTCGCTGTCCCACTGCTCCACGCTGTACATAGAGGACGTGTCGGGGGCGGGGCTTGAGTCACACCTTCAGACGGAAGCCCCTCCCCCTTGTTTTTTAAATATTCCACTATTTATATATAAGGAGCTCCTGTTTTTCCTGTGGTCTGCCGAGGCGCTGCAGGACCAGAGGCATGGAGGTGAAGAGCTCCCTCGGGGAACGACTCCCAGCTGACTTTGGTCCCGTTTCCTTCCCGGCTGGGAACTCTCCAGCTTCCTGCCTGTGGCCGTGGCTCAGACCACAGAGCATGTGAAAACAGACACACTCATGCTGCTGTCTCACTTCTTCATCAACTCTTAGCTTTCCTTTAAATAGACGCAAGGGTTTGCGCCGTTCTTGTGCTGGACGCCATTCAGACATCTTTAGAGGGTCGTTTACTTCCTGGAACGCAGACGGATGGAAACTCGTCTTCCCAACTGCTTCAGTCGCTCAGGAAGTGTTTGGATTTTCACTCAAAAAGTCCAACATTATACGTTAATACGTCTTCCCAACCCATGCTTTTATTTTGAAACTACAACAGTAAAGCTTTATTTCCTTTAGCTTGTTAATCTGAACCAGGAGACGTTTTTACAGCTAAATCCCGCCACAATCTGCTTTAAGATGTTTTAATCTGGATTTTTGTGCCTTTTTAAGAGTTTTTGTAGTTTCACAATAAAGGCGGCTGAATCTGACCGTATGCTCTAAATGTGAAGTGTTTTTAAATAGATTTGCGTCAGAAACACGTTAACTAATCAGAAAAAGCTGCTTTTATCTAGATCGAGTGACCTCTGACCCTCGATGAGTCCTCAGATTCAAATACGGGATCCTGGGATCGTTATTTAGGATCCGGTGGGAATGTAAACACTTCCTGACACGAACATGGAGCTGAAACCAGGAGGGTGTTAGTGTTTACAGTCACTGTGAGAACAAACATGAAGTTATCTGTAAATACTGACAGAGAGTGTTTTATGGGTGGTTCCTCCATGGACACTGTGACGTTTATTTGACATGAACTTTATTATTGTTTCTTTATTAACATCATTTCTCACCATCACATCCAGATTTTATCCCTATATGAGTTTTGCTGCTCGTGACGGCCGCTACAGGACCACGCTGGTGTTTTTATTTCACCATTTTTCTGTTTACTCACCAGATTTTTAAAGTCGGGGTTTGGGAACATCTGAAAAAAGGGATTTTCTAACATTTAACGATTAGAAACAACCTAAAATGCAAAAAACTGTTCCAGTTTTCTGGTTTTTACTTTAAGATTTTGATCAGTTTGGTTTAAAATTCATGTTTTTTTAAATGAACGTGAGCAACACGTGTGTTGCTGTTTAACTGAACTAAAAGTCATTCAGTCGTGTTCGTTTTGCTCTTTTCAAAGTTAAACCCAACAATTATAACGGAGTTTATATTTCTATCATTTCTGTTGTGTGTCATAAACAATAAATATCTGATTGTGAGAAATAAAAACGCTGATTTTTTTGGGTGATTTTCACACACACCTGTTACCTCCATCAGAGCCCCTCAGGGCAGCAGTGGCTTCATCTCAGCTCATCCCCACCCGCGTGTGAATGACTGATTGTATTGTAAAATGCCTTGGGGGGTTGTAGAACCCTAAAATGTGCTACAAATACAGGCCAATTACAGTTAAACTTTTATTAGACTCATAATCAGAAAAATTCACACCACCGTGAGAAACTGATGTTCACAACAGCAAACGTGGTCAGAGACGTATTTACAGAGTTTATTAGATGTTTAAAATCAAACAACAGACTTTTATTAATTAGAAGCTGGTTTAATTATCACATTTCTTCTCTGTAGATTAAAATAAACACTTTTAGTCACACCGGGGACTTTTCAGCTGCTTGTTTTTCATGATATTTGAGTTAAAATGCACAAAAACACGTAATAGTTTAAAAACGTTTTGAGCTAGGTGGTGATGCTGCAGCCCGTATAGAACACAAGTGATGAAATAAAAGTTCAGCTGAACATAATCAAACATATTTTATCATTTACAATCATTTAGATTAAACTCCAGCACTAAATATCATTTATTTTAGGCACGTTTGAGATATTTGAGCTTGAAATGGCTTTTTTCTGTAATATTTGTCGTAAAAATTGAACGAACTTGAATCTGTTGGGTCGTGTAATTCGTACGTCTCCCACCGGGTGGCGCCAGAGCTCACTAGTTTTCCTTACGCGTTCCACAGCAGCTCACGCGCTCTTGTGTCCGGTTAGCAACGCCGGTCAGACTGAGCCTTACGCAGGAGTGGACTGGGACCAAAATTTGGCCCTGGCATTTTTACCAATCGTCGACCCTCCCAATTGGGAGAGCGGTGGGGGTGGGGGGGTATTGCCGCCTGCGGACTCGTCCCAAGGCTGAATGTGAGATCTAATATAGACTGGGACTGTTAAATTACAAGCAGGGCCAGACCACTGCGATCGGGAGCCCTGGCCTTCCAGATCAGCTCATTCTCCATGGGCGGAGATCAGCGGGACATTAGCTACATGCTAACGTGGTGAAAAAAAAAACTCCTACGTCATCGCTCTACCACGTTTTTCTTGCTAAAAACACCTGGGAAAACTCTTGTTAGCTTCGGGTTACCGTGCAGCTAATGTTCTGCAGATCACCAACTGTGGAGTAGTGTCAGCCCAAGCTGGGCAAGCAGCCCACTTGGCTAAGCGGCCCACCGGGACAGTGCCAGAATGCCAGATAGGCCAGTCCACCCCTGGCCTTACGTTGTGAGATGATTGTTTTATCACTGCTGCTCGGTTAAACTGTGAAAGTTGCTGCATTTTTCTGACTTTTAGCAGAATCGGTAGCGAGAGCTTGTGTCGGTGTACAGAAGCTAAAAGCCCACAGATACATGAATAAAGCACAACCCCACACATGCTGCTCCGTTTGCCACAGCAGCCATAAAACAAGCCGCAGAGCTCGGCTCTCAGCTGCTCAGCAGGACGATGATGTAGATGAGAAGCAGGCAGATGAGGATGAGCGTGAAGTTGACGAACAGCTCCTGCAGGTTCCTCTTGGCTTGTGGGTTCACCTCGATCTGAGACGCTCGGCGGATGGCCGACTTGGTCATGTGCTGAACGCGCTCCATCGGGGCAGCGAGGGTTATATCCTGGTGGGTTGGGTCTGGAGCTGAGCAGGAAGAAGTTGGTTCTGTCACCGTCTCTAGTTTCAGATAAAAGAGAACACATTAGAACGTTAAACACACACTGCTCGGTCTCCTGCCTCCAGGTGGAGGCATGTGACCTTTTGGCTTCGCGGCACATGACGATGAGCTGCTCAGAGGCGCCAGTTGAGGCCCGGTGATGTGCTAAGCTGGACATATGTCAAGATCACAACCATTGTTGTGGGATCTACATTTAGAAGGTCAGAAGCAGCCGTCCAGGTGCTGCTGTGGTGGCGGACGCGGTGTCCCTTTTAGTTATCAGTGTGAATGCTTGTTAATGAGCTTCCAGATAAAACCTGTGAGATCGTCTTTCCATTGGTGTGTGGAGAATTAAAGTCCTTTTGGAGTGTGTCCAGAAGATGGCGCTAAAGAAACGCCTTCTGATATTCACACAGCAGCGTCTTGGACGTCTGGAGCTCAGCAGAGGTCACAGCTGCTCATGTGATCGTCTATTTTTATTATTTCACTTTCTTTTGTCCTTCCGGCTCTAATCTGCCTCTGCCTGGCATGTGTGACCGAAGCCAATCAGTCCACCTTAAGAGCTCAGATGAGTCTGTGGGAGCATCTCTCCTAACCGAGCTGGCCCTAGGGATGGTTTAGCAGCTGCAGCCTTCCATGTCTCACCTAAAGGCCGATTACGCCACAGCGAAGCAACAAGCCCGTCCAGATTCAAAGGTTTCTCAAACGTGTCCTCGTTTTCTCCGGAGCTCAAGGACAGGTCTGGCGTTTCCTCGTGGCAACGGTCATCCCAGGGTTCATCACGGGTTGAACGACAGGTTTTAGTTCTGTAACAATGGCACATGAAGCGGGTCGGGGTTACGGTTTCAGTGTTAGTATGTCTGCCGGTTGTGCACAGATTCTTCTCTAAAGGTGCAATATGTAAGGATGAAGCAAGCATGACACACTGTGGTCAAATGTGGGTACTGCAGCTTCTTTTTCTAAACATAATTCATTCTCTCTCACCCGTCCCGCGAGGGTCATGGCTGCTTCCAGCTACGGATCAGCACCAGAAGATTCTCGATGAGTCTTTCATGCTACGTTTATAAGTAATTACATGGTTATATCTGGTGTTAGCACTCTGGGTTTAGCTTTAACTTCTAATTAGTTTAATAGTTGCTAGGCAACAGGACCCATGCTGAGGCAGGAGTATGATGGCTAGATCGTCCAAATTCACAGCCGCTCATTTCTGGTCTTGGCAGTTGAGGAAGGACTCGTCCTACGTGGACCGGGTAGGACGAGTCCTCACAAGGACACTACCTCTGAATTTGGACAAAGCCATTAGGGTAGACGCCGGCAGAAGTCTCAGACATTTACAATAAAAGATATTTTAGGTATAAATGTTGAACTTCCATCTAGTTGAGGCCCGCTAGCCTCTCCTTTAACCTTTTGTTTACTTTGCAGCATTTAGGAGCTAATCTCATCCGTCTGACATGTTCTACCCTTCTCCTTGTCTTCACCTTTCCTCTCTGCTCTCTTGTTGGTTATTCTCACATTTATCTGGATCAAACATGCACAGCTTTCCATCGGAGGCAGGCCCTGATTGGTTCATGTGTTATTAACCAGCAGCTGTTAAAGCTACGGTCATAGGGTACAGCAGGTGGTCCAGATCCTGGAGCGGCACCACACCATCACACTACCATCGCCATGCTTTTGCCCTTGGAACCCTCCCACTGGGCCATTTTTGTCACTGTCTCTCTTTCTTTCTGTGAATGATGACCTCTGACCCTGCAGGGCTTTAGCTGATGCTCTGGGTCTATGAAACGAGTTATGTGTTGCTTTTGAGACCTTTTAGTCTACGCCACGGTTTACAGTGAGAGGGTGGGGCTGTAAATACCTTTTTCACCACTGGGAAGATGAGAAGTGGAGTCTTTAGTTAAACATCAGGAGACTGGGTTTGGGGGTCGGTCTAATTTAGTAATCAGCATTAATAACTTATGTGTGTGTGTGTGTGGGGGGGGGGGGGTTGTTTGGTCCACGTGAACTCCTCCCTGCAGACTTCCACTGAAACAACCAACCCAAACTCTGAATTAACCTGGAGACTTTCAGATGCCCGTCGTTCCAAACGTGTGACTTCTATCAGTATGTGTCAGCAGCAGCAGCTGTCGTATACCAGGCCACACACACACACACACACACACACACACACACTGAGCTATTTATACATTCACTCTGTTGTCAGACTTCAGTCACACACGCCTTGTGACGGACAGCTGTGGGAGGAAATGTAGGTTAAACACACGTAGCTGCTGCTGACCCGGTGCTTGGGCATTGTGACCAGTGCCACACACACACACACACACACACACACACACACACACACACACACACACACACACACACACACACACACACACACATCAGAAAACAGGTGCTGTAGCTCAGTAAATAAAACATCTGACTATAACTATAACTGCTTAATCTGGAAAAGTTTGAACATTTATTAAAAACGGTTTTAGGACGCCTTCAGTTTGTCCGATTCTTCTATCTTCTTCTCTAAAAGTCATCTTCTGATGATTATTACTTTATGACATTTACTATAAAAACTCATTGCCATGAATTCTCCTTTCTGTTATTTGATCACAGGATAAAATCTGGCGTTCACCGTGAAACGAATCCTCCAATTTAGCTTCGCATGAAACCTTTGTCACCAGTGAACATCCTTCTACTGAATTAGGATTAGTCAGTAATCTAATCTAACCGCTGGAGCCATGCATCAGGATGGCAGCGGTGATCAGAATCAGCTGATTTCTCCAAAAGAAGATCATGTGCTCTGGATGGGAACGCCAGGCGAGTGTTTATCCCTCTGGGAGGTTTAGTTTCCATTCCCCTCTTCACAAATGTTTACTCCATCTGAACAATGACTTTATTAGAGGCAGTGATTCATGCACTCCTCCTCAGCATCTCCTCCTCTCACCACCGGAGCAGGATGGATGATGTCTCTGGTTCCTTTTGATCTACTCAGCTAACCACGTTTGGAGCTGGTTGGAACAAAGATGTAGGAGATGGAGGCTTACCTTGCAGATTAAAGCGGCTCTGGTCGGAGCTTGAGGCAGAAATGTTAGATATGCAGCGACCTCTGAGGCTGGACACGCTCTGAGAGAAGGAGAGGAGCAAAGATAAGGATGGGGAGGAGGAAGAGGAGGAGGGAGAGGAGGCAGGACATCCCAGCTGTGGTTTCAGGATCCCATATTTGTGCCTGATGAATGATACATGCGGGGAAGTTTAGCTCTTAAACCTGATTAAAACACAGATAAAGAACATCCTGAGAGACGGTGATGAACGTTACGGCCCTGTTGTCCGTAACGGACAGATTCTCATCGCTGAGCTCCACATCAGGCTCTAGTGAGTCAAACTGTCTAGCTGAAGTTGTCAGAATTAGATTAAAAAACAAAGTTTTTACTTCTGTCAGTCATGATGAAATATAAATTACTGTCATTTAGATAAAACCTGCATCCAGATGAATGTAAAACTGATACGAAGGATTATTCTCATCCATCATGACCCCTTGACCTGGAGGTTGGGCACCATCCAGAGTCATACTACAATTAGCAAACCGGGGCTATCTGCGTTTGGTGTCCTGCTCAGGGGCACTTTGGCAGAACCTTCTGATTCCCTCTTCTATCTGAGCTCCTAGGTTGTTAGTAGTTACCAAATCACCTCAAACTCTTTCTCCTCCAGATGGAGCATCAGCCCTAGAAACCCACCATCAGAGCTCACCACTCTCGTGCACAAGAGGCGATTACAAGTGTTTATTTTTTGACGACATATTTAAAGCAGAAGTCCAGTTTTAATCTGATGACATCATCTGAGAGTTTAACATGTCTCCACCTTACACTGTTTCTGTAAAAACCAAGCCCCCACAATGCGGCTCAAAAATTGGTCCCAACCCGGAAGTACCAAAAATTGCAGTTCCACCCTCATCCACTGGGGACTGGTGTCAGAAACGAGCAAATGCTCATTGACTCCCATGTTAAAAATACCAATTTCAGAGCAGAAATACACATGTTTACAGCCTGCTACCAAAACATGTTTTTTGTTTAAATGATCTAGTTTACACTCATGACAACTCTTAGGGGGGTGACTTTTTTCTCACTCTTCTGTTTAAGTGTATTAAAAGCCTAAAATTCTGTATAATTAATAAGCATCAGACCCACGTGACCACAGAGGAAAGGCCTCAGTAGAGCCTCGTTCTGGCCTAGAAACTGTTCCAAGATTTTGAGTCTCTGTGTGTGTGTATTATTTTTTGGATATTTTTTGTGCAATTGTTGGACAAAATGACTTGCTGTGACATTAATTGCACTAATAGAGCGTCCAAGGAGTCTCCACTTCATTTTTTTCGGTAAGTTAAATTATATTTATGTATTTTAGGTCACTGCCGAGCTGAGCTTAGATTTTAACATGTACTGTTTAACCATGAAATTTAAATGTAATAGGGTAAAAGCCAGTGCATTTAACATAATGCTGCACTTTAGAAAATGGGTTGAAATATAACATGTTGGTGGAGCTGGATTCCTACTATAGGCTTGTGGAGCTCTCGGGAGACCGATGTTTTCCACCCGTTCTCCCCTCCCTGCAGCTCGGCGCATCTCTGTCTGATCGCGGCTTCTGTCTGCTGCGTGGGCTGCCGGCTTGTGGAGCTCTCGGAGACCTCTGTGTTCCACCCAGTTTTACCCAGCGGTCAGCCCGGCGTATCTCTGACTCAGAAGCCCTGGGGTTGTGCACAGTTAACTCTGGTTGTAGCTAGGTTGCTACCTCCGTTAGCTTAGCTCCCACCGCCGCATTAGCTTTGGGTTAGCTTCCGGTTAGCTTGTAGCTAGTTCGACCGGGTGTCGTCAGTTGATCCCAGCCTTAGAGCCCCACCCTCAGCTCCACCTCTCTTCCCTTTTGTGGAATTGTCTGGGCTTGACGGAACCTGTGACACGGTCAAAATGGCGGTGGTGGCCACCTCCCATTTGGCCTCAAAAACGTGTTATTGGAGCCTTTGGAAACCCATTGTCCAATATTTATATGTCGATGGTATAAACGCCTCAGCAGTGAAGACTCACCTCTAGTCGGCCAGCAGAGCTAAAACTCCTCGTTTTACAATTCTCACGTTATGCTGTTTATGCAGATCTTAATATGTGAAGACTAAGTTGTCTACGAGGAAGATCACACTCTGCATCTGTCTAGGTGTGTCCTCAAACGCTCGCGGATGTCTGATGATATTAGCTAAGGCTGAGCGGCGGTCTACAGGACAGCGGGCGTAATGTTGACATCGTATCACGGTAGAGGGTAAGACAGAAAACAGCCAGGGTCTGGTGTGGCCACCCTTCACACAGCTGAACACATCTCCATTTCCGAGATGATCAGGTAGTTGATTGTGGAACGTTGGTCCACTTCTCTTCAGTAGCTGTGGGAAGTAACACGCTGTCGCATACGCCGATCCAGAACATCCCAGCCATGCTCCATGCCCGATTAGATCTGGGATGTTTCCAACTTCCAGGAACTGTGTGCAGATGCTTGCACCCTGAAGCCGTGCGTTACCATGCTGCAACATGAGGCGATGGTCGTGGATCTTATGATCTCATCACGGTATCTCTGTCATCATGTGTTTGTTGTCTGTAAGATACTCCTGCCCATACCATAACCCTACCGCCACCACAACGGTAACCTGCCCCTCACCCACACGACACCACAAACACTGTCAGCCAACGGCCATGAACAAGAGGAAACCAGGATTCATCCATGAACAGAACGCCTCTCCAACATATCACACACCATCGAGGTGAGCTGTTGCCTTTACAAGTCATTTACGACCACGGATTGTTGCTGCAGCTGTCCTCGTGGCTGGCCTCAGGCCATCATGGAGGTGAACAGGCTGGATGTGGAGGTCCTAGGCTGGTGTGGGATGTGCTGCTAAAACACCCGTGGAGACGGCTGATGGTCGAGAAGTGGAGGGGTCAGGGTTATGCAAACCAGTAGACACGGATGTGGCAGGTTTCTGATGAAGGTACTAATCCTGATGCCCTACCTGGAGTTCATCAGATGTCGAGCGTCTGGGGAGTTTAAAACGAGCTCTTCCAGCTTTCAACCATGTAAATAAAGAACAACTTTAAACGTCTGGAAGAAGAATCTGTCATTTCTTTTGGATTCACCGTCACTTTGAGTCCGGCCCCTTTAAGCATCACAACCAAACCCCACCGCTCTATTGTCTTCTTCATCCTGGTCCCCACCCCAAAGATGCCGAGGACCAGTGCGGTGCCGCCGAACAGCTGATGGCGCGTCTAAATGCGGACTGACAATGAGCGGCTAATAAACATTCTGTAAGACGATCTGCTGGGATAAAGCTGCAGCAAGGACAGAAAGCAGCTTTATTATCTACATAAATGCAGAAGATCTCTGCTCAGGCTGGGATGGAAGTGCTCCTGGGATGGAAGTGTGCGTGGACTGGTCTGTAGTTTAGGGCGAAGCTCTGCAGAGCGTCGTCCGCTGACACACACCCAAAAAAGAACGTTCAAAAAAGTGTGGAAAAGTAAAAATAACCTCCATGATGTGGTCCAGGAGACATTCCAGCTGCCTGACACAGAGCATGGTGGTGTGGACAGACCTGCCACTCACACACTTTATTATTTCTGCTCAGTTTTATGCAGCAGACCCACTTTCAACAGCCAGACTCTGTTTTTCCACAGATAACAGAAACCTGGACTCTCCGTTTAGCAGAAGTGTGACGTAACATCTGAGAGAAGGAGCCGTTACAGAACAATAAAGGCTGAAGGAGGAGGTCTGACCTCCTCACTAACACCTAGTAATCCCTGAAGGAATGCATGTTACCTGGTTCTGTTTTAGAGTGAGATGCTGAAAAATGGTGGAAGAATGTGCTATTTCATCTACTGACCTCCACCACGTCGGGTTTTAGCTCCTGATGTCTGAAAAACCAGCAGCTTCCAGTGTTTTTGTCTTGGCTGTGGCAGCCATCTTTAATAAAGCTGTAGATGGTAGTTAGATGTTGAGGAGCTTAGTTTAATGTGCAGATTATGTTGCTGATGAGGATTATCAGCTGTTTGTTCTGAATCTCTTAAAGTCTGCTGCCACCTGAAAAAATGTGCCTGCAAAAGCTGCAAAGCAGCCATTTTTATTCATTCATTCATCTGCTGATGCATCTATTCTTTACATGCCAGTAGATGAATGAATACATCGCAGAGGAAATGAAATGAGGTCATGAGGAAGTGTGAACCCCAGCCTGCTGCCAGCGGTCTAGATCCTGGCCAGCTGTGGGCGGAGTCTTCGGCTCGCAGTTGGACAGCGCCTGCACCAATCAAACGACGGGGCAGTCCGCCACACACCGTCAAAGAAGACGGCGCAAGTAGCTCAGTTTGCTCTTGGCTCAAAGAGAAGCTCAGGTCTAAACCGTCCAACGTAGATGCCAGTGTCATTTCCGATGAGCGTCGTTCCTGAGCCGATGCCATCTTTGTTTTTCTGCGGTTTTAGTGCAAAGTCCACCTAATTAACATAGAGGGCTGCGATTGGCTGGACACAAAACTGGTCGGGCCAATGGTGGACCTGCTGAAGCTCCGTGGGTTTCTAGGCTAGAGTTCTAGAGATGATAGATAAGTGTAAAGTCCACAACAACATCCGGGAGACGTCAGACCACGACCAGTCAGAAGGTCCAGAGTTTGTCCATGCACACTTGGATGGCAAGCAGACTGGGTCAAGTCCAAACTACCAAAAAAAAACTCATGAGCATATTTTCATATTTGTTATAGGTGAGTCTTGAATTGAATATTTGTGAGATCCAGTTTCTGCAGACTGGCTTTAATAAAAGGAGGCTCTAATATAATCGTGTTTGTTATTTCTGACACGACAGTGACTAGAAGCACCAGATGCTCTTAACTCAGAGGCTTGAAGGACCTGGTGGTCTCCAGATGTGGAAGCAGAGGAAAAATCCCTCCTGTGGTGTTCTGGAGCCCCAGAGGTTTGTTTTCCTTTAACATCCTCTTTGTGGGATCTTGGTAACACAACCTTTAGTTTTCCTCCCTCTCTGGTTTTTTTGGTCCCAGGAGGGTTTGAGCTCTGCAGCCTTACATGGTGAAATACCACGCCGCTCAGGCTGGAGA